TTCTTGCAATGTCAACAGTGTTCATCAGTGATGCTTTGCTTAGAGACAGTGATCGGCCATGTCATTGTGCATACAGGAAGATACAGGAAGCAGGAAGAAACATTTCTCCCAGGTGCACTTTAGAAATGTAACAGCTAAGCCTACATACATTCACTTGGATGATTAGTGCTGCAATAAGAGTGACCTTTTGGTTTCTTCACAATAAAATTTAAATAGAAAAGGCGACAGCAATGTTATATTTGGTAAAATTCCAAACATTACGATTCGCCTCAGTAATAAAAAAAATTGTCATACAGTACATTCAGCAAGCACATACTTTATACATCAGTTGAAATTTTAATGAACGCTCTAAATTAAACAATAATGAAAAAGAAACAACATTTTCTTTGCAGGGTTCATGGCAAAGATGACTGACCTAGTACTGAAAAAGATTTCTATAGTTTGACAGTTTGGCAAAGCACATGAATATTGGAAAACATATAGAAAAGAAATAAAATATAGAATATAAAATATGCTAAAACTTCTAAACAGGCCACATTTAATATGTTATTTTTATCTATTATGTTATATTCAGCAAATAAACAGTAATTGTGCTTTAAAATATGCAGAAGTGTGTTTTCTATAGGTCATGCGTACTTATTTATTTTCATTTAGAAAATCAAAAAAATGTCATTTGGTCAGGAGTGCCCAAAATTTTGCATACAACTGTATAATGATGAAATCCTCATTTAAAAGGATTTTTTTCCAGCACCAAACCACTGTTATCTCTTAGCGTCTCTCTTATACCGTAACACTTGGTGTTATCCTTACGGTTTTATTCAAGAATAGATGTTGAATCGGCTTAAAACACTATAGATAGATAAGCATGACGTGTAGTAGACTCTCACAGTTAAGACACCCCGTTTTCATGAAGTTAGATTTACGTGTTTCTGAAGTTGACACAGGTTTAGCTTATATAAAATAGCACCAAGAGTTTAAAAATAAGACATGCTGTATCACCTTTAGCATCCTCGAACAAAATTATCTCTTGAGTCCCCCTAAAGAAAAAACATATATTAACCATTCCACCCTTTTTTGCATTATCGGTTATTTTGTTTTTTACAACCTTTTTCATTAAAAAGTCAAATTATGCTTTGTTTACGTTTTAGGGACCGCTTCATTTTAAATACAGGGCAGCAAACAATGCCATACCATACTTTTACTATATTGTTTTTCGTTGCAAGGGCTCTTTTGGTAAATGTTCGTTTGGTTTCGGGCCTGGGGAAAGTTGTTAAATGCACTATAAGAAAACCAGAATAATGTCCTCATGTCATGAAGGCCAGCTTAAATGAACTTTTCACACAATGTCCAATTTAAACTCTCTCTGATATATAACCACAATCCTTGAGTTAGGTTCTGGAAATGAATACGGGTAGATTTGGGCCCAGTTCCCCGAAACAACTAGTAAGGAGGGTGTGATGCTCATTCTAATGTTTCAGGACCAGGCTAAGATGCTTTTGGGAGACCCAGCCCAGAGCATTTTGGCTTTATGTAGGAGTGGTTCTTTGCATATAATTAACTAAAGAAAAACTTTCTTTTGAAATCTATACTTGGTAATAACTTTTTTCCTAATAATTCAAAATGATTGGGAAGGTCATCTCTAGCAGTTAGTACACTGCTTGTGAAAAAATGATCTTTTGACAAATGATAAAATACGGATTTTAAATAAATATCTAACAATTTGAAAACTTTTATATCATGACAATTCAGGACATGTCTTATTCAGTAATGCACTGAGTTTAAAAGATATTGATCCTAGCAGTTCTGTCACTCTCAGTCATCTTTATTTGGTGCGTTGTGAAGGGATCCAAAGATGTAGCCATGTGATTATGAATTTGTGTGACTACCATAACACTAACGCAGTTCAGATCGGCGCTTTCAGGATTCTTGTACTATTGTTATTGTGTCGTCAAAGCTCTGCAGACAGCAGACATCCCACAGAACCGTTCATGAGGCGTAAATGATTCTTCCCGTTTAAATGACTACATTGAGAACCCCATCAAGAACCCTTTAGGAACCTTTCTTTTAAAGAGTGCAGAGCTTGTCACCATAGGAACCATCTGCTTTCTAGAACTGATAACTGATGTCATTTGAGCCTGTTTTCTCCTGCAGCAGTAGTCACCCCAGTCTGTGTTCATTTGAATTTCCTGCTTCACTGGTCACAGTGGGGGCTATGTGGGTGGGTACGGGGAAGGACTGTGCGCGCGCGTGTGTGTGTGTGTGTTTGTTTGTGTGTGTGTGTGTTTGTTTGTGTGTTTGTGTGTGTGTGTGTGTGTGTGTGTGTGTGTGTGTTTGTGTGTGTGTGTGTGTGTGTGTGTGTGTGTGTGTTTGTGTGTGTGTGTTTGTGTTTGTGTTTGTGTGTGTGTTTGTGTGTGTGTGTGTGTGTGTGTGTGTTTGTGTGTGTGTTTTGTGCATCTTTAAAGCACACAGATTTACATGATTTTGGGGTCTGTAAGGCTAAAGCTGTTCTTTGTTAATTCAGTCATGCTGAATACAAAATGATGCCTTAAGGCTTGTTCACACTGAGACAGATTTTTACAGACCAAAAAAACTAAGTGATTTCTAAAGTAGTTAGGGTTGGCTAGTAGGGTTGGCTGGTTAAAATTCTCCAGGTATGGGTTTTGTCATAGTTGTTAAACCACAAATGCAGATAACACAACATTAAACAGTACATGTCACTACCCATTCTGCTCCCCCTGCCTGATTTGCACTATGCATGCCACTGTCAACGCATGTGTGCATTGCGTTTTACGATGCTGCTCGATCTGCACCCCCATGCTGATATTTTTATGACGTCATATTAGTGAATTGCCCTGGATTGTTTAATTGTCTTTTAGAGTTTAATACTGCTTAGTATTCCTCTCGTGTCACCTGAGGAGCTGATTGATTCAGTAAGCTGCAGTCTTGGGGCCTTATCTGCACAACAAGCCAATGTGCATCAGCTGGTACTCAAGTGTGAATGGCTGTAATATTTTCCTAATTTTAGCAGCGTCTGATGGTCAAATGCGCAAGCGTATGGGACACGTATTAAAACAAATGATTTGAGAAATTTGATAAGGCTAAAGTTGGCTTCTTATTTGAATTTCCTGTTAAACCTTAAATAATACAGCAATAACATTGATGTACCTGTACAGCTGCCAGAACGCACCTGCGGCTCTGTTTAAGGTGGACCAGAAAATTTGAAGAAAAACTGGCATATAAGAAGCCAATTTCAGCTTTATAGAAATTAGAACTGGGTATATCTGCTGACCACAGCAGACTGCAGTATAGTTAAGTGCTGATGTTATTAACATGCATACAGAATGTGATTTAGTCAGCCAATCAGCAGTCTAGATTTTGAAACAAGCAAGTTTGTTGGCTCAGAGATGCTGACAAGACTGAATACTTTTTGAAATTCAGTGAAGCAATTCAGTCAGTACCATAAAGGGACTGAATTTCGATACCCAGGCTCTAAGCATAATAGGCAGTTCACATTAAATCCAGTGTGTTTTAAATGTGCTACACATCATCTCTCTACATTATATCCTGTGCTCTGTAAATGGGACTAGAAACTCAAAAGTTCTCATAAATGTCTGCTCTTTCTTTTTCTCTGCCTGCTTTATCTCTCTTCTCTTTCTGATCTGAGATTTCTTGTTTTTTTTTGTTTTGTTTTTACATTATCCACTACAACACAAGAGACACGAGGGAAGCTAATACTTTGTAGTTCTTCACAGGCACGAACAGAATACACCTACAATAAAAGTCCATAAACAGTTGCTAATTTTAACCTATTTTCTCCCCAACTTAATCATCTCCAATTCCACCCGCTAGTTAGGACTCCCCCAATCACACGATGCTATCAACGCTAGGAGGGTGAAGGCTAACACAGGCTTCCTCCGAGACCTGTGAAACCAACCACCGCATCTTTTCGAACTGCCGCTCGCGTAACGTCACTGGACAGCCGAACGCGCTCGGAGGAAAGCGCCAACCGCCAGATCTGTTACGTCAGCTAACAGACGCCTGCGCTGACTAGCATCGCGCTGAGTGATGGGGGGAGAAGGAGGGGCCATCCCACCCACCCAGAGAGAGCGAGGCCAATTGTGCTCTCTCGGACTCCCGGCTACGGACGGCTGTAGCATCACCAGGGATCGAACCCGCGATCTCCTGATGATAGGGCCAACGCTTAGACGGTTGCGCCACTCGGGAGCCCCAGCAGTTGCTATTCTGATGTTTTGTCATATCCCAGTCTTTCAGCTACTGTCTGCCGTATGTTTTCTTTGACCTCCTCATTTTTATAGTCATGACGTTGCTTGTCGTATAAGCTTTTGTACTCCGCCACGAGCAAAGTAAGATGTTGTGCAGGCATCATGCTGCGCATTTGTATGGACTGCACCTGTTGGTCAGCCTGATATTCACCGCATCTGTACAAAATGGAAAGTTTAGCTGGCTGTGATTAAAACTGAATGTGAAATTAAAGTGTGTGTGTGTTTTTAAAACATTTTCACAATCAAAGAAATATTTTAAACCATTCCTTAAACAAAGTGAAGTTATACTCTGTTATTTTTTCCAGAATAAATCATTGTGCAACCTTTTGTTACAAAGTTTTGGACTGTATGGTTCACTTTGGAGTGTTGTTATACTGAAAGAGCAAAAACAGAAAAGACTCACAAAAATAAATCCACAGAAAGCAGATGACAAGGATGACTCAACCTGCTTAACATTTTGTTGTAATTTTATCCTGTGTTTTCGCTATTTTCATTATTTCTGTCAGGTAACAAAGTCTGTATATGAGTGCATTGTGACATCTGGAAGGAAATCTGTGCTAGTGTACAGTATTAAATGGGCTTTTCCATTCATCACTGCACTTTTCCTTCCATCAACGCACTAATTCCAGCATTTGTCATTCATTTGCTCAGCTTTACTGCTGTTGAATAATTTCTCAGCTTAACAGGGACTGTTTTTTTTTCTGTCTTTGTCCTCAGACCGTGGCTCCGTTTCAGGTGACGTTACGGGATGACAACTTCATCTTTATAACCTTGGAACCCTCTGACATGAGGGAAAACGTCACTGCATATGCTGCCAAGATATCTGGGGAGCCACATAGCCACATCCTGCCCTTCCAGAGTGCCAACAGTAGCCAACTGGCTTCAGCTACTCTCCTTTATAACACCTCCTACCATGGGCTCTGCTACACCATCAGCCTCCTGACGGGCAATGCCTCTACCTGGTCCAGACCAGACAAATCTGTGGCTCTGCTCACAAGTAAGACAGCTAGAGGGTTGATGTGGTTAGACAGAACGCTGTTTTCAGTAGTGATGTGGACCAGTATTGTAAGTTCTATGTAATTCTGTCATGTTTATTTGATTAAAAAATATATATCATCAATTTCATGAATCAGCAGTCAGAAGTTTGCATCCTGATTTTAAATCAACCATGTTCTACACTTTTCATGGATTTTTTTTTCCCCCTCAGGTCTATTTCTATACCAAAACAGTCATAATACATTTTTACAGACCATTTTCCAATTTCTCTTTATCCTGTAACATAAGACAAGTTTTTGTTACTCTGCTGAACATGCGCTTAATGAATTTTTATGTGCCATATAGTGTTTTTATATATTTACTTATATATTTATATTAATAGTGCATCTTTATAGTTTATGTATTTTCATTAATATATTTTCAGGACTCTGCATAGTTCATAATGTTGTTTGATCTTTTAAAGAAGATTCTGATAACTGAATCAATTTTCTAAATAATCAGTAGACTAGCAAATATAGTTGATAATTTCTACTCTAAATAAAACACTGCTCTCTGCCTGTACACTGTTAACTCTTCTTCTTTACAGAGCCTCTCCCTTTAGAGAGTGTGCAGATTTCAGACTACCGGGGAGCTCCAGAGACTGGAGTAGTGTTCGAGCTCAGCTCCCCTGAGAGGAACACCTTCAGCAGAGTGAACATCAGCTACTTTGAGGGCCGCGAGCAGCGATCTATGCTCTACAAAGGTCAGACCTTGGGGAGAACAGATGGGCGCTGCCCACAGGGGTCATTAGCTCATATGGCAAGGAAAATGACTTAAATTAAAATTACTTGCAGCAGGGAATATGTGTAGAAAAAAACTGTAGCAAATGGCTCATGAATTCAAAAAGATCAGAAGGAAAAAAGTTCATTTTGTACTTTACGCAGTTTTGCCTAATTTAAAATGCATTTTTTTTATATTGTTGAATATTTTAATGACTATTTTTTTCTGGTCTGACAGCTTTGCTTGTTTTGCTCCTGAATATATTTAATTCAATAGACAACTGTTTTAACCAGATTTCCTGAAAGGAAAGACCGTTTTCAAACACTGGCTGCCTGGAACGTGCTACAGCAATATCACCTTCCAGCTGATCTCAGAGGCCACTGTCAACAAAAGCACCTTGGTGAAGAAGAGTGAAGTGACCCATGAGCCACGTCACCACAGGACAGGTAGTTTTCCATATCTAGATAAGAGGTCTTCAGATCCAGATCTTGGAATTGAGGTAGTTAATTGAAATGTTGATGTAACTGATTGGCCATCTAGTGTCATACAGAAGGGATCCCTGAGGGCCTGGAAACAAAATCTAATGTTTAGTTTTTTTGTTTTTTTTTATTTAATAGTGTCAACATGCTTTCTGTATTCAATCTGTGCAAGTATTGTAGTAATTCTCTTTTTTCATTGGTAAATTTTGGTTGGAAACAAAAGGCTTAATATCCTGAAATGGCCAACAGAAAATTGTCCAATCATCAGGTTTTTTTTTGTCTTGGCAGATACAAGCAAATGAGCTCTCCTATTGCTTTAGGAGCTGGACAGAACTTACACATTGTCACATCCATCATAATTAGGAACTGATAGTGGAATCAGCCAAAGACATTTGACTTACAATGAGTGGCACCAATTTTGGGAGACAAAAAACATCACTCTAGGCCTTCTGGAAGTCCTAGATACGTCATTGACTGTAGTCTAACCAGTGAGTTTCAGTCAGATGTTAGAAATGGAAAACAATGACGGCAGCTCTATGCCAGCGTTCTTTACTGAAGGACTGTAAAACTGCAAAATTCAAGGTAAAATAAATGTTAATGTCTATTTACAAGCTTCAAATATAAGACATGGAATGTCTTTTGTCGCTAACTTAACAGGCGTTAAGAATTGTGAGGATTTATTTGGTCTGCAGTGGGTGATGGTTGTGTTAAGACTACATTTTATTGACCTTTATTCGGGTTTGGTGTCTAAACTTGGATCAGTGAGTCTGGTTGGGTCATACTCGGACAGAATGTTCTGGGGTAATAGTCGAGTTTAGCTAAAAAATTTCAGTGTAAACACATTACTGGGAATAGTTAAGCAGGTTAATTACTGACAGTATTGTGTTTTGAGAATATCTAGATTGGCATGTTTATGAATGACAGAAGAAGGTGTAGGGCTGACCCAAAGAGCATTTTACAGGCTTTGAACACTCATGTTTCCCCATGATTGCTTGACTATTTGTTCTCAGTACTACCCTTAAAAACAATAATGCTTAAATGAATTATTTGATCATAAACCAGGAGTTTAAGATATATTAATTTGTTTTAGATTTAGACAGAGGATTCAGACTGGATGTTTGCCTACCTAGATAGCAGCAGTGATACAGAAATAAGTACATTTTTAAAAATCTTGAAGTGTTGAGTTTTTATTGTCACTTTAGCAGGCTTATTAAATGTAGAGCTAGGTGCACCTGTTTTCAGTTCAGAATTAACCTTCATCATTACAAACATTTGGCCATCCAATTTGTTTTAATTACTGTTTGAATTGTGACTGGACAAATCTGTCACAGTTCCCCATGGATCGACACCTTCTGTGACATTAATTATTCAGGTCAGTTTGAATGTTAGCACACATGAACTCAGAGGAACCTTCAGAGTCATTCTGACCCGTGTTGGGTTCATTATCCTCCTATCGGCATCCAATTAAATTCACTTTGTCCCAGAGGAGGTCATTACTTATTAAAGATCCTTTTCTCAATAACCTTAACTTCATTTGTTATGAGGCACAGCTGCAATGTGTAACCTCTTTTTTTCTTTCTCTAGTACCCAGCCCTCCTCTCAACGTATCTCTGAAGATTGTTCACCTCAGTGGAAGAGGCTTGCCGGTGACTCACTTGCGTGAGACCGTGCAGAAGGCAGCCCATGAATCCCCTTTTTCACGCAAAACCCGCGACATCCCCCTAATAGAGGAGCAGGAAGAGACGGATATTCAGGAACGAGAACAGGAGCCGGATCCTGAAGAGGGGGCTAATACGGTTACCCAACAGCCCCACAGTATAAATAGCAGCTTAGCACAAGTTATGAGCACTGCTGAATACACAACTACTGAAGAAAATGTCAACATAAACTTCAGTAACACTTCAGCAGATGAGAACACGACGGATGCCTCATGGCCAGAGCCCACAGGAAGTCCTTCTCCAACTGAAGATGAGTTTGTGAATGCAGTTGTCCCGGAGTATGAGGACTCAAACGAGCCAGGTTCAGCCATGGACCTCACCCCAGAGCCCACAATCATGCCCACTAAACTGCCCCCAATTCTGCTGGAGCTCCGCTGGCTGCCCCCTCGCCCTCCCACCACATTTGATGGCTTCAATATCTACATCTATCGAGATGGTCAGTTAGTTTTCCAACTGAATGAGCATTGACAGCTGTTTGTTGACTGCAGTACTACTAGGACTGTTTTTGTGGTTATGCAATTAAACTAATGTGCTCTAAAATGTATGTTATAAATAAGTAGCCCTGTCACTTAGATTAATAATCAAGTAATGTACTGATTTTGACATTGAATAATTGAGATTTTGAGAAAAGGCCACACAATAAAAATGTATTTGATTGAACAATAACAAATGTATTAATTTCATTTTAATGAAATGATTTTTTTTATTCATGGCGTTTAGTCGCATAATCATACCAGCCCTATATAAATAACCTTTTTATTCATATTTTTATTCTTTTAGTGATCCAGTCTGTCTAATATAAGTTCCGGTATTAATAAATCCATCTTTTGAGCATTATTGTTGGTTTACATATTAATGGCTAACTTTATTTTAAAAAAATTCTTAGTAACTTAAAAAGACAGATTAGATCTTAATAATAATGCTAATAATTTTACCCCTCTTTCCCAGGTAACTCAACGGAGATGGCCACTGTGGACGAAAACACTCACGAATTCTTTACTGAGCTGTCTGAACCTGGAACATACCGCGTGCTGGTCACCACAATTAGCTCCTCAGGAGATTGTGAGCCTAGAGAGAGCGCTCCACACACAGGATTCACCTTCTACCTCAGTGCGTACTGTCCTTTACTGTTAAACATGAAGCCAGATGTTCGTACTATAAAAAACAATTTACAGTACTCTGATGAATTCCATTTTAATACTATGCAGTGACATATCAAACATCTTATTTATACTGCATGTTTTCTTGATGAAAAGAAAGGCTATTATAGATAACAAAATACATAAGAAAACAAAAGAGAGTTTCCAAGATGACACACTAGAATGATTTTAAATCAGCTGGCAGAAAAGCCCATTAACTGGATAAAAAAATAGAAAAACAGTTCCCTTGCTGACATTAAGTCAAAATAAGAACTTCTTGATGGTCAAGATGACAAGTTTTGATGTCTTTGACTATTATCCATGGTGTCATTTATACAAAACGAAACATGACCATGTACCCCAGTAGGTTTCTCTGTAGGTGAAGCAGATCTTCACCAAAAGAAATGAAGAAAAACACACAACATGACATTTCTTCTAATTAGTGAATTCAGCTATTTTAAAGAACACCCATGGCACAGGCGTTCAGTTATGTGCACACACAGCTTGTATAATCTCTATAGAAAAAGCATTGTCAATAGAATGGGATGCTCTTGGGCAGCTGCACATGAGCTTAAGGTCATCATGTCCAATGCTAAGTGTCAGTTAGAGGGGTATAAAGCCCCCCAGCACTGGGCTGTGGAGCAGTGGAACTGTGTTCTCTGGAGTGATGAAGCAATCATCATCCAGTACCTTTTAAATGAGTCAGAGTGGAGTTTGTGATCCAGAACTAATCATCCAACATCAGTACCAGATCTCACTAATGCTCTCAGGGCTGAATACAATCAAATCCTCACAGTAATGTTCCAACATCTACTGTAAAGCCTTCCCCAAACAGTAGAGGTTGTAACTGCAGCAAAGAGAAGAGAAACTCCATATTAATAGCACTGATTTCAGAAGTAATTTTGAATGAGCAAATGTTTATACATTTTTGGAAACATAGTTTATCAAGTAAAATATATTTGCAAATGAGAAAGTCTTACATTTTTAACACGACTGTTTTTTAATGCAAAAAAATATTATTTTTTTGTCTTTGCTGAGAAGGTGTTCTTTTCATATCTGTATTGGGAAGATACTTTACATTTGTCAGCCATGCAAAACCTCACTAATGTAACAGAATGGATGACTCTGTTTTTGTTGATTGGTTGATTGAATAGTTATGGGTAATGACACCTTTTTAAGCCCTTAGTGAAGCAGGGCCTCGCCTAGTCTTTAAAAATTTGCATGCTTCTGCCACCTTCTCAACTTCAAGATGGTTGACACATCTACTCACTCAGAACCTGAGTCAGCAGCCAACAAGTGTAGTATGTTATTTACTTCGAGCTGTTGATATAAAATGATACAGTGAAAAAGAAAATAACTTCCTTATTCCCAGTGTTCAAGGTTCAAGTATACATACTGCAAAGTGTTTAATTGAGATCAGTTTAGATATTTCCATTTTCATATTTGAATGTCTAGGTTTTGCAAGAGCCTGTGCAGGCTGGCTATGTTGGCATGCTTTATCTCTGTGAAAGTTAGCAAACTTGGCTGTTGTGGGTGTTTGCTTCCCCAAAAATTGTGAGCACCAGCTACCACTGCTGTGTGCATAATGTTGATGTCAGTGCAATACTGGAAAGATATGGTGGTCACTTCAGTTTATATATTAACAGCTAACATATGCAGTTAAAGGAAGACCAAAGGAAAACAAGAAAGCTTACAGTTAATGGAAACGTAAGCATTGTGTAAACTACATTCTTAGTTTATTGCACACTTGAATAAAACCACACTGCGTGGTTAAGGTACCTCTAATAGACTTGTTTATGTGGTTTCTGACACTCAGTGACATGTTGTTAGAAAGTTAGTACTACTGTGAGGGCTGTGTAATATACTTTTATTTTTCAGGGAAAAAAAGTTTTGATTTGATTTTTTTTGTCAAAACATTCCTTTGAGATAACCGAACCTACATCCCTGGTGACAGGATGTAAAAATTGAGTCCCCAAGTTACCAAACAGTGACTCTTTCAGTGAACCTGACATTATGCACTTCATAGTCAACATCATAGTCATTCTTTCATTTTAAAATCCATATGCTGGAGTACAGAGCCAAACCGAAACTGTCCAGTTAGTTATCATTTTACTCTCTACGCTGTAGGCCCCACAGGTGAATGGCTGCAGCAGCCGACAGAGCGTCCGCAGGCAGTTAGCGTGAAGATGCTGGGAACAAGCACTGCCTCCGTTTCCTGGGCTCCGTCCGCTCAGAGCCACAACGGCAGCCTGGTGTCAGTGCTGTCTTTGACCTGCCTCAAGCCCAGCCCCAGCCAGCGCATGGAGAACACCTACTGCTCTGAGGTATGGCAGTCAGATCTGTTCTTCAGTTAGTGTGCAGCACATTGAATAAGCTGCAGGACCTACGCTACATTCTTTAAAGCAGTGGTTCTCAGCCCTTTTCAGTGCTTCCTCAGCTCTAACACACTTGATGCAATTAATCAGCTAACTATCAAGCCCTTTCCTGAGGTGAAGTAGGTATGTCAGAGCTGAGAAAACACTTAAAATGTACAGGACATGGAGCTTCAGGACCGGGATTATGGATCTAATGAAATTGCAAAGTATGGTTCTTTAAGATCTAAACATGTTTTTTTCATAGTCTTTGACAATATCAGAATAAAAGAAGTAGTACTTAGAGTTGTAGATGCATTGGTATATTATGACAGTCTCATTTTGGCAACATGTCCTTCAGTCATAACGACAAGGTCTTTGCATACACTGAGCAAATCCACTATACTTCACCCTTTGAGTAAAGTCCCCACACTATAGTAGCAGGACAAAAAGTTAAAAGTTTCTACTTTCCTTCATGGTTTTTACCTTAGAAATATACACTGCTATCAAAAATCGACAAATGGTTGAGAGCACTAGTTTCATTGAACATTTAAGTAAAAAAAAAAGTGTGTTGAAATATTTAATTCTAGTTTTTTGAATGCATTTTTCCCTCTAATGTTGCCAATTTTTTTCTTCATTGTAGACCATACAAACGTTTGAATAGAGTTGGTAATTAAGATTCCAGAGATAAATCATGTACAACATAAAGACGGAATTATACTTTTGTACAGTTGTCCACAGTTCTTCTTTGATGCAGTTGTATTTTTTAGATGACTCGTTTGAGTCCTCATATTTGATTTTATGTTACAGGAAAACACCACCAGTGACATCATCACTAATCTGACCCCCGGTGCTCAGTACAGAGTAGTGGTGTATCACACCAACGGACCCCTAATTAGCCCCGCCTCTGAACCAGTTATTATTGATATAGGTAAGCATTTGTGAACCTTATATAGTATGTGTATTTGTCTTCTTTTGAAACCTGTGGAGAATAAGGTTAATGAAAGGGGTATTTTATTACCTAAGAGACGTATCTCAACTTTGGTTGATCAAACTGAAGGACACTTACTAGTAGCAATGTGTGTTTAAGTGAAAACTCTTTTTCTTTTGTAGAACATGACAGCCCGTGAACTATTTTTGACTGATTTTGCACTCTGTTCTGCATCTCCCATTCTTGGCTCTCATTCCCTGAATGTGATTGGTTAACCTTTTCCCCTGTCTCTCTGACAGAGCCAACGGGAGTGCGGGACCTAGTGGTGTATCCACTGAGTCCCACAGCAGTCATACTGAGTTGGCAGAGGCCGTACAATGTAGCCTTCCGCAAGTATGTGCTGCAAACTTTCTTTTTCAACTCTGCTACGCAGACTTCCCAGTGGACCACCTACTACGAGATTGCAGCTACAGCCTCCGTCATTGCCTCTGTGGTAATAACTCAATCTGCCTTGGTCTTCAAAGCTGTCCTGGGGTTACGATTTTTTAGAAGAATATTTAGGTTCAGTAACAGTAACATAACTAATGCCAGAAACACACCTGATGCAAGAACACAGCCAACCGTTCCAATCACACTGGGCACATAGTACATACTCAACATGTGTCCTTATGTTACAGTAGTGGCTATAAACCTCCTAGAAGTCAGAGAAGGGAAGAAAAGAATATGAACATCTCTAAACCTAATCTGCTGTTATTCTAGTTGCCACAAAAACCACGATTATGTTCATAAGAGTGGTTACATGGGTAATTGCTTGCTATATTACCCATTGCTGCAGCACTATAATACAACAACGTAATCAACACGCAGAAATGAAAGTTCTTGACTGATACTGCATTTCAAATACCGAAACATTTTGATGTAAATTTATTGCAGTGAGTAGTGTGAAATCCCATAAAGAACAGTTGGCATCCAAAGTAATGAATTCCAATATTTTTAGTTACACTTTGTGCTTTTGTGCTGTTGTTTGTGAATTTTTTCCGTCTTGTCAAACTGTGGTCTCTGGTGATATCAGTGTGCTTTCCTTTCTCCTACTGTTTCCTGTATTTTGTTTATCAAGTGGGATGTCTTGTTTTCAAGTGGAGAAGTTCCTGCGTGTTGTACCCTCTCTTGATACCTGGCATGAAAATTGATTATAAATTGCTTGTCTAATGTTCCTCATAGAAACTGCGAAATAGTTCCACACAGCTGAAATTTTTACTGTTGATTTGCTGCCGCTCAAAGTATTTGAATACAAAAGAAACTTCATTTTCATTACCATTACCATTATTTATAAAGTCTTATATTCTGGCACTTTGTTGCAGGCCTATCATTTTTTTCTTTTTCTTTTTTGAAGGTCAAAATGGTCACCCAAAAGTGCCATTTTTGATCATTTTCTGCCAAAAATTTACGGCAAACCGAAATCCCTAAACAACACATTTTGTGTATCTTGAAGCAGTTCTGTTTGCATACTTGCATGGGGTATTTTTCTGTCTTTAGTCAGCATAGGGTTTGGCACATAAATGGAACCATAACAAACTGTAGTATTTGTAGTGATACGCTGTGACAGGACACAATGTACTTAAGTACTTAAGAACTTATATAAGACATAAGGAGTTACTAAGCTTCACACTCGGCCTTTTCAATTCATTGCTTCCACTAATACGCAGATGATATTCCAGTGAGCAATCTGCTTTGTGTAATTATTATACTCATGCTTAATTGCATGCTGCATGATCTAAATTGCTCTCTTGCACATTGGGTGGTGGAACAATGTGGGGGTGTTTATTGGCCTTGAGTGAGAATTAAAGGGTGCTGAAGCAGTGAAGTAAGAACACAGAGGGCAGAGGGCAGAGCTTACGAGCTAATTAAATCAGACGGTGTAATGTGATACAGAAACAGATCAATGAGTGCAAAGGCCAGGCGTCCCACCTGATCCTGAGCAGCTGAGTGAAGGGGCTGTGTAGCTGGGAGATAGAGAGAGACAGAGAATTGTTTTAGTGAAGGAAGAATTAGTTTAGAGTAATAGCGGAGCTTTTGATGTAAAGAGAAGGCTTGTGGCAGATAAATTTTATGATGTTCTTTATCCATGGTTGTAGGATTACATGTGGCATTGTGCAGAGATTAAAGCACTACTAAGGAAACATGCCTACAGAAAAGGTCATTGTGTTCACGCTTTTCCCACCTTCTCCTCCCCCCTAAACAGAGAATAACAGACCTGTTGCCTGCATGGTACTACAACTTTCGAGTGACCATGGTGACCTGGGGTGACCCACCACTCAGCTGCTGTGATGGCTCTACCTTGAGCTTTATTACTGGTAGGTTAATATGTCACACAACACTAGCCCTTCAGTGGCTACACATTACACTTGAGCTGCATTTTTTTATGTAGGGCCAGCTGTGTTGTAGTCAAATCACATGCACCACTAGGCTTCACATGAGCTCACAGAATGGAACCATCAGGTCAAAAATGTGGCCTTCGGCATGACTGTAGCTCAGCGACAGATACACACACCACAGAGCACGTTAAATTTCGGCTTGCGGTCAGTTGACTCTCAGATTTCCTCTTAACTAATATTTAGCTTCAGTTACCAGGAACCAAGCCTGTGCTGTGTTGGCTAGGCAACTAAGCTCTTGCTACAGTCCTGAACTTGAATCAAACTTGCATCGAAACTTGTTTCAGCAGAGCACCAGTTTATTTGTTAGTTAGTCAGAATCAAGCCTGTGCTGTGGTGTGCAGCTCTATTTGGATCTATGGCCTGCTCACTAATCTAATGTTAGGGTAGGCAATCAAGCCCCCCCCCCAGCCATGTGTCTTCAGGTAGGTGTATCTTCATGTCAGATTAAGCCTCAAGTCCAAATTGAGTTGCAAGTTGAGTTCCAAGTCAAGTTGAAAAAGAAAGTGGGTCACTTTATAGAGCCAAGCTTACTGATTTGTATTTGCCTGTAATCAAGACACTGCAGGAGCAAGCCAACAGAGTACGAGTTAATAGAGCACCTAAAAAGTAATAAGTTTCAAGACATAGACACATTTCTCAGTTTTGCCTTTTTGCATAAGGAAGCATCCCTGGTTGAAGATCCTTTCAAAGGAGGCAATCCGTGCTGGCAAGCTGTCACGGATGACAGTAGTGTAACATTAGGCATAATGCTGCTTAGTGATTCTGCAGCTCAGACAACAAGCAGCTGAGAGTTAAGCCCAGTACAAAAGACAAGTCTGATCTAAGCTAGGTTATCACTGGTCGGCTACAGATTCCTGAAATAGATTTACCTCAGCAGATGACTTCAAGACAAGTACAGCAAAAAACTACAAAACTACAAAAAACTAGATGTCTTGCACAGCTTACTTTTTAATTTTCTCTTGCAAATATTGCTTATGTTAAATATGCTGTTGTTGCATCGTGAAAAGTATATCACTGCTGTCGGAACAAAACCTTGTACCTCAACGTCTTTGACGTTTTTCAGTTTTTGATATAATTTGAAAATGTCTGTTGCTCTTTGTTGTGTGTAAATTTCATGATGAATGGACCAAAAGAAACGGCCCAAAATGACTTGAAAAAAGTCTGGTTCCATTGACTTACAATAAAAGTAAAGTATGTTTTTTCCTTCTCCTGTAAAGTAAATTTTGGAGATACGAGGTTTTGTTCCAACAACAGCGATATGTGAGTTTCACTACTCACTACAATCTTAGCTTCTCATCAAACCTTTCTCCTAATGCATATGGCACTAACACTGCAACTACTGATGATTTTAAATTAATTGTGATAGGATATTTTTTTATTGTCGCAGTTTATATATATTTGTTTACACACATTATTATTTACACATATGAGACCATACAAACTTCATTTTTTTCAAGTCAAAGTCTGAGACTTACAAGCCCAAGTCTGGTCACAGATCAGGACTTTAGTACTTCACGAGTACAAGTGAGTCCTTTGACATGACTGTCCTTTTCTGGTTGGTTGATGACATGCTCTTTACGGCATATACTGCACCTGTGAACTTGGCCAGATTTAACTCTACACTGGGAAACTTGTTGATTGTCAGAAAGACAGATGTCACTATATAATGTATTAATTCTTTTTCAGCTCCTGAGGCCCCCCACATCTCCTCAGTGGATTATTCCCATGGGGTCTTGTATGTACGCTGGACCTACGGGGACCTCTTCACTGATCTCTCTCACTCCAGAATGCTCCACTGGCAGGTAGTGGCGGAGGGCAAGAAGGGCTCTAAGAGACGCTTCTCTACAGACGTAAGTTTCATCTGGACAACAGCATTTATTTTTGAATGTTATATAACAGTTTATGTAATAATCTAGGGTGTAGTGATCTGCTTAAATCCTTTACAATTACTTTATAATATTTTACCTTTCATGTGTGGTAACCCTTAGTTTCACTGTGTACAAACAAATGTTGTTTCTGAAAATGTCAGGATCAATATGGCTGGAAAAACAATGCCCGTTAACTTTAATGGTTTGCGTGGTGAGTCACCGGACCTCTGTAACCTGCGTCCTGTCTTGATTTACCATCACCATTACTGTCAATTACTGGTCTGTCTTTGGTAATTGACCGTAAACATCCTATTGCGCTGCTACGCTAAACGCTAAAAAAAGGCTAGTGGTGGTCTTAGAGTAGCAGGCTGATCTGTGTGGTCTGAGAGAGAGCATCTTGTCAGCTAATGATGAGACGTGCTATTGATTGTTTCCTTGGTGTACTTTTGAGGCCTAATTAAAAAGGCGCAGGGCAGCACTGGTGCCTTCCTCTGCACTGCCATCTCTCTGGTGCTAGCCTGTAATGAATCCAATTACCCACCACACATATTTATCTAACACAGAGCAAAAGGATTAATTAGAGACTGCTAAATGTTTTCAGACAGAGATAGTCAGAGATGGTTATCTGCCCACCAGCTTTGCTTAGAGACTGTGGCCAAAGGCTGTGCTCCTCTCTCAAAGCAAGATCTAATGAAATGGTGAAGACAAGATTACTGTAGGGGTGCTTTTTGGCCCCTGTGTATTTTGGCTTAGTGTCATTATTGATATGTCTTCAGCCTGTTCTTTCCTGGTCATTGACAGTACAAAGGTGTTTTCCTTTATGAAGAATTTAGAGGCATATTATTCATCATAGGTGTTTGCTGCTGTTTGCTTGTCTGATGCAGGCAGATGCCGTTAGAGTGAATATCTGCCATCAGCATTATTGATGCACATTCAGATCAATCTTTTGTATGATGCCATTGACTTTTAAGCCAACATCCGCCAGTTAGAGTATTGTTTAAGTCGATAGTTACAATCCTTTCGATTGCTGAAAGAGCTGAAAATTGAAATAGCCAGTCAAACATGTTTAATGTTGTGAACTGAGCCATTTCATGTTTCATTATAGACTGCTTTTCCCTACATGAACGACTTAATTTACTGACAGTGTCATTAATATATGATTGACAGAATATCTTGGTCATTGTAGTGTATGAAATTTACACAGTCCAGTATTTGTCTCTTTTGTATCTAAATTTAGACACAAAGATATTTGATAATAATAGAACCACTTCACTATCAAGATGTTTTGTTCAAAATCACCATATTAGTATTGGTTTGACAGTGGGACTTCTCAATCTTTAAGTGCAGTCATTGTGCCTCTTTTAAATGAAAACAAATGCTGTAATTAAATAGCCATAAATTTGAAGCTTTTTACCATGAACTAATGTTTTGAGCAGGAAAATGATTACAGAAGGAAAATACTTAAAGGGACATTGTGGTGAAATTAAAAATGTAGCTTTTTCGTGATTTTATTGTTATTGTGATGGCACAAATGTTTTCAATGTCTGAATTTTAATTCTGATGAGAATGTACACTCACACTTGTTCAGAGCTTGCCACGCTGCATCCAACACCAACGGCAGCAGGCAGAGCCAACATTGTGGAGCTGCAGTGCAGACAGTATTGTCGCTGCTTCTTCTTGACACATTTTATGTGTTCCTTTAACCAGTGTAAGGCCCTTTGGGTCACAACCAGTAGAGCAGTTGCTTAAACTGTAGATGCCGGCATCTACGCCTCTAAGGAGCCTGCACTACTAACACCACTATATATATAAAAGTATATATGTAAGCCCATGTTTACAGATGACCACACAAGACTGTGCACAGAAATGCTTCTATAAATAAGTAATTTATGGCATTTTCATGGCAAAACCTGATTGATTTTTTATCTGTATTTATGCTTAAGTGTACTATATATAAAATAGCAGAATCAGCTTTACCCTCAGCAACAGATTTTATTTCAAAACAGCAGTCACTTCTCTTTAAGAGCAGGGAATAATATTACAGTGTTTGCAGCCTTAGCTGTTTTCTTGTGTTAGAGCTGTCAGTTATGTACAGTGACCCTTTTCTCTTCTTCACAGGTGACACGTAACATGATGAAGGCCACGCTAGCTCTCCCTCCTGGCGACATCTATAACCTCACGGTCACCGCTTGTACTGAGCGTAGCCACAACACCTCCACACCCCACATCATGAAACTGGGTCAGTAGTTGAGCTCTATCCTCTCGACAGCTATCTCAGTGTCAACCAGTTGTCCTTGTAACACATTTGGCCTTACACCTGCATAGTGAAAAAAATCTTTCCTTGATGTGCAGGATCATCTTCATTGACACAGTCTATACCTCACATATTTGGTGTTTACTTTGCTCTTGGAACTTGAAAGCTTGGCTACTTTTGAAGGAAAAAAGTCTTACTGAAAAGTATTACCAGTGAGCTGAAAATAGCTTATCAAACAGGACAGGTAATTCTTTAATGTGAGGCCAGAACCCACATGGAAATATTAGCATGTCAAAGAAAAGCTGCTGCATGGTTTTCTGCCATGGAGAGATGAGTACTGAAGCCTCAGACTGAATGCAATATATTAGCAGTCTAGCTGTCACTGTTACTGGGGACACCTCTGTTAATTTCTCTAGGCCCGTGTGAGTGACCATGGATCCCACTGTTGGAGCATGAAAAGAAGTTTGTATGTGTGCATTTGTATGTATATTAGTCATGCAAATTTTGGCTAATTTTTTATACGGATAACCAAGCGTCATTAGTTGGCTATTATTTGTGAACCAGCAAGTGACCCGTCAAAATAGCAATTACAAAATGGAAACGGGCCATAATTATAGAAAATTCCACAAAATCTTTCTGTCTTAAGTGAAGATCTCACAGATCAAGATAAGATTTTTGACAAGTTCATGTTACAGAAGCAAATCTTATATTAGAAATTTTCTCGTCATACAACATCTTATCTTAAGTTGGGAAATGGTTACCTTCTCGATTGAAACTAACAGTCCACTGTCATGTGTGTTACAAAGCAACCAATGATCCGTGCACAGCTGAAACCCAAACACATAATCAAAATCTTGCTAAAATGTAAGTTAAATCTACTGTTACCAATGGAAACAAGGTCAAAACACAACTAAAGTGCAATAACCTGGTGTATAACTGTTGTTCTGTAATAGCTACCGTCCTAAATTCAGTCCTAAATGAAGTTGTCATGGTGACTAAACCGATAAGATTTCGGAGTTAAGATGCTTGTGTGATACATTTGATGCTTTTGTGATATATTTACGATTATATGACTAAAAACTAAAAAGTTGATGAAATGACTGGGATATACTACGATGAGCTCCAGAAGTTAGTTCTAAAGTTAGATTCACCACTCATCATTAGCCCAAGTTAAAATGAACAGAAGTGCCGTGACCGGGGCTAGCTTTGCTCATTGCTACTCTCACCCTTCTGTCATGTCCTTCTCTGTAATTTTACACAACCATATGTGATTTCAACACACCAAGCATCACACATTCTCAGAGAACACAGAGGAAATAGTCGTCTGTCTTATTGCTTGTGGATTTTAGCTTTTGATACAGTACATTGGTGTAATTGTGCTATCATCCTCTTGGAAAAAGTAGTCCTGAATGCCAGTACTTTTAGCTGCATGATTCATTTTTAGTAGGCCTTTCTAAAACTATCTGGAATCATGTATACAATCCAACGTTCCTCAGTTTGACTGGTAAACCCGCATCTTTAAATAAGAACTGTTGGTTATTGGAAATGAAATCAGTTTTTTTAACTGATATCTTCGGTAGAACAGTTTGTCGGTTAATCATTCACATCCCTGACAAGTACATTATTATTATTTAACATTTTGTTTTAACCCTTACATGCAAGATGTCCATATTTTTCACCCGTCCCACAGTTGTAATAAAAGTGATATTTAGATAGAATTAAAATTCAATTGAGTTTTTATGCAGTTTATAGTTCATTTATTCCTGAAAGTGTTAAGTTCCAGTTTTTCTGTAACTTTCGACATTTGAAAAGTTTCACTTATCAACCTCAAAGCTTATTTTATACATTTAAGTTCAAACATGTGCAAGCAATGAAAATGAAACTTGCAGGGGAATCATGAAGTTTTACTTCCCTGTTAGCAAAAATAACCACAAAAGCTATTTTTCTCACCGTATCTTTTTGCATCATTTAAGGAATACTTTTTTATTCTGCTTTTTCAGAGGAAGTTGCTGTGCATGCAGGGCACTCATCACACATTTTCATTTCACTCTAACAGAGCCAGCACCTCCCAAGTCGCTGTACGCAGTCAACGCCACTCACTCCGCCGTCACTTTGCTCTGGACTGAGGAGGGAGTGGTGGACTTCTACCAAATCAGCTGCAAACAACTCGGTACCAACAAACAACTCAAGGTATGGAGTCATTGTGGTCAAGGGATGTTTTCAGTTACAGTTAGTTTAGATGACAGACAACAACTCCAGTTTCCTACAATGTTAATTAAGGTGTTACAATAGAAATCTAATTGTGAGATCAGATTTGGCTGATGTCTGGGAAAAAAAATCAAACAGGAAAAACAAAAACAAAAAAAAAACAAATGCAAATTTAATGCACAAAGGGCATGCTCAGGTAAGTGTAATTACTATCTTTTATCTCTAATAAAGGCAGCATTCTTTTTGTTATGGAATATTAATGATGCTTAAGAATTCACACTCAGAAGTCACAGTTATCACTAGTGATCACAAAAGCATGATACAGTTTGATAATTACTAATATCTTGTAGCTCATTGAAGCAAGCAGATAAATTTCAATACATATTTGTGTTTTTAAGTAGAAGAGGAAATATTTGTGCATCCATATTATTTTGTAGAAATAAATTCTGTCCTGTTTTTTCTTTAAAACAAACTGAAGTTGCAAGTACTGTTGACACAGAAAGTAGATTGAATATAAGTGCATGCTATGTCATTAGTAATGTAATTGCTAGGGGTATACAGTCGGAATCTGCCCAGATTGGAATCAGAAGATTTTTGCAATTGGACAATTTATTATTTTTATTTTTGGCCAATCTGTTTTGCAGTTTTATGACAATAATATGAGTCAGGTAAATGCACTCACTCTGATTTCAAAGCTGTGGCTTCACCTATACCAAAATGTCATATGCGTGACTCATTGTGCTAAAAGGCATTTTTTATTTAAGAATTTAAAATGTCAATGTGGACTGATAAAGAGCAGATCGTGTACATACAAAGTATGTTGGAACATTAGCTGATAGAAAGTCCTGAAAATGTATTAGTGCATTTCATGTGTTCATTTACTCCACATAGTGTGAGTTTTAGATAGATAGATAAGTAGATAGATAAACAGACAGACAGACAGACATGTAAAGAAATCGGAATCAACTGTAAAAATTCATTATGCAGAGGTGCACCTCTAGTAGTTACATAGAAATAGTATAGAAAAACAGCGAACTATTCCAGACTTAATACCAGTGTAAACAAAAACTACTCAGTCAAATACAGCCCTGTCTAATTCTCTTGCTTCAGGAAGTGTAATGTACCTAAACTGCCGTGGGCCCAGAGCTTATTACTCAAGCCGTTCGCCCACCTCCATGTTCAAACTCTTTAATTTTGTGTACATTTCTCCCTCTGAGACAAAAGCTACCATTTTAAAGTCAAAGGACCGCCCACAGGCTAATGGCCACTGCCATCTCTCCCAGGTTAGTCAAACATTTCACAGTAAACACGGGGGGCGGTGTTTACATCACAGAGCTTTTCCATCTCTCTAGGCGTTGTACATCAGGGCTGAAGCGCAGTCACAACGCCTCCAGGTACTGTCAGAAGGAGCCTGTAGTTTATTAGAGTCATTAAAAAGTAGCGGCCTTTGCGCAGATGATTCACGTGGTTGCCACGGCAGCGGCGAGCCGAGCGCCTGGAGGACGCAGGGCATGACGGCTGTTCTTTTTTTCCCTCTGCCCACACGCCATCATTAGCACAGATCCATCTGCTTCGGCCGCAAGCCACGTTTCCCCCAATGCCACACACCAAAGGCTTTGTTAGAAATTCGTGTTACAAATGTGGAACAGGTTGAAATTGTGGCTCAGGATCCAGGATTCATGTTCCCTTTTTATCCTTGAAAGTATCAAAGTACTTGCAACTGTACATGTGTGAGTTAATCGTATTTGTCCCCTCACAGGCTGTCGAGCCACAGACTGCTGTCTCTCATGTTCTCACTGTGAGCAACCTACAGCCCTCCACCTCCTACAACTGCAGCGTGACCAGCTACAGCTACAGCACACCCAGCGAGCCTGCCTACATCACCATCTCCACCCTAGGTAGCACAGTCTCTGTTGCCCTCACTATTATAGAATGTATAAGATAGGAATGTCCCAGCCTGCCCTGAAAGACCAACATGGGTGCCATTCAGGCATATATTAATAGGCCACAATACAGTGAGCTAGATGCCATTTTTATCCTTTCTTAGGGCTGCTGCACTTCCCTTACTTCACAAAATGATCAAAGTGCAACACATGAGGCACATTTGCAGAAGTGGTTTAAATGTCTGTGGTGTGGAACTTTGTTACTGTGTGAAATGAAAACAGCCCAACAGACCACATATAGTATCTTCAGTGCCAGTGTTTGACTGCAGTTAACGTTGTCAAAACAACATCAGTTAAACAACTAATATACAATACAATAAGATTATTGTAGTCTTAGCTCTAAAGCAAATACAGAAACTTGAAATATGATCGTAGCATATTTAAGATACCATTTCAAAAAAGGTAGTCCAAAAATACAAAACACAGTGCAGTTCAGTTTGTGTCACTTTATGCGTATACTAAAATGATGTTATTTTACTGCAACATTTTAATGTAATTTCCAGTCTAGCATATCTTTGCTACCTTTGGCTGGTTAACTTTAATGTTACTTTGCACTGTCCAGCTGTATTATCTTATTATTAAATATAAAATATTGGATTCTAATTGGTCTTCTCAGATACTAGTACAGATACAGTTTAATTAACTCAGACCAAGATTAAGGGAAAAAAATAATAAAAGCTGTTAGTATCATAACCTACAGCAGTGTGAGGTTTCTGTTTAGGCTTTTGATATATATTTTGTTATGCTTAAAGTAGGAACAGCTTAGATGTTTAAGTGTCAGGCTATGTCTGTAAAATTGTGTTTTGTAGATGTTGCATATTGTTGCTGTCCAAAAAAAAAAAATATCCATTTTTTTTTCCCCATTTTTTTCAGTTCAATTGAGTATATGTGACAGATATTCTGTACAGCCTCACTTGGAAGTGGTTTTAATTTATATATTGCATGTGTGTTACAGCCCAGGAGATGAACCCCAGTGTAGCTGCTATCTCAGCGCTGGCTGTGCTCAGTGTGTTGCTCATCAGCCTGCTGGTGCTCTTCTTGCTGGTGCTGCGCAAAAAGCACATGCAAATGACCAGGTGAGAGCTCCGGTACCAGTACATTACTGTTAGATTAGAGAAGTGGTATATGACAGATCAGAGATTTGGCAGTATGTGTATGTATTTCTTTTTGATTTATCTTTTTTCAAAACGATAAAGCTCCAACTCGTATGCTCTTTTTGTCTTTGATCCTGCATCCGCTTCAGAGTTAGGGGCCGACTAAAAATTACCCGAAGAAAAAATCTTACCAGTATGGCTATTATCTCGATAAATACATCCTCAGGCTGTTCCGGGAATGTCGCTAATGATAATGAAGCAAAGGCTGATCTACTTACAGAAATGTTACTACTACTAATAATAATAATGCTAAAATATTTTTTGAGACGGTTCCTGGCACTGAAGCGGCAGTAGCATTAATTGAAGCTTAATGTTTGTGAAATGAAAGGACACAAACACAGTAAAAATTGTGATTGTATTATATTGTCTTCTTTTGTTTGATACTGCTTATTTTCGTCTGATGTATGAGAACTGAGACATGATTTTAGTCGTGTTTTTCCTGATCCTGTGGTCTGAGGACGTCCTAAAATGCATTAATATAGAATATCAATTCAGCCAACTTGTTTAAAAGCTATGTTCACGTCTGGGAACAGTAATGTCTTGATATGGTCTACATGAAATAGAGCAATTAGTGAACAGTGGGGTTTTAAACCTGCAGTAAATGAGTTTTTACCATCACTGAGGGCTGATACGGCGGTAACTCAGTTAACTGTCAGCGCAGGCCTATAAACTCTTAATCCTGAATTTTTAAAACTGAAGACTTGGATTGTTGGTGCAGCATTTAAGGAATCACATGCATTTCAATCGCATCGATACATATTATGAGAGGCTACAGCCTTTAACGTAGACTAGCGTAGAAGCTTAGCCCAACCACCAAGGACATTCTTGCAAACATGACATGGCAGTATTATTTATTTCTACTCATTATTAGGCTACTTTTCTGATAAAATTTTAGAAATGACATATCCAAACAGTTTAACCTCACTTGTCTCCAAACAGCCAGGTGATAAACAAATATTGTGCTTACTAAGCTAGGTCATAAACGCACATTTCAGTATGGTGACAAAACGTGATGAATAGAAAGCACTGCACTGCAAAAGCAAGAAGCTGGCTAAGTGGAGTAAAAGGATATAATTGCCCATCATATAGCTGAAGGAATAATGTAGTCCAGCTCAAAACAGATCATTGAATTTGATCAGCAGATTTTAACCTAAAACCTTTTTTGAAGTTTAAGTTTAAAAGCACATCATAATTTATAACATTCTTTATTCATTCATGTTAAGGGCTGAAGTATGAACTTCCTAGAAACTCAGGTCAGCCTGCTCTCTGGTGAGTGGTATTGACAGTCACTCTGGTGTGTTTGCTTTATTGCAGGGAGTGTGGAGCAGAAACCTTCGTCAACTTTGCCTCTTTCGAGCGAGATGGAAAACTTCCCTACAACTGGTAGGAGTCCTCTTTATTCCTGTGGTGTACAAACAGAGATCAGTACAATTCAGAGTGATAGAATTCAGATGATAGAGGCCAAAGATGGCGGTCGTCACGCGCACCAGCCGCTTGCACATTCAGACACAGAGACAGAGAGAAGAGAGAGACAGAGCAGCAGTGTGTGCGGGATTGTGATTTTTAATCTGGCCCTTAACCTCAACGCACGTGGCGTCGTTCACATCTTCACACGAGACGGCATGTTTAGAGAATATCCACAGTGGCCTGAAAGCCCAGCTTTATAGCCTTTACAGATTAAGAGAATTAGGATATGACAGATCAGGGATTTACCAGAATAACTCCACACAGAGAAGAAATGATGAGGAATCGCCTCAAGTAATGTGGCTTTTTGGTCATAGATGGTTGAATTAGAGTGCACATTCCCCTATTAGCCACAGTTTACTGTTTCTGTTTTTTTTATTTTTTATTTATTTATTTTTTTTTTAGAAGGTTTCCAGATTTTGATGCTGACTTTTTGTTACAACATGCACACTCCACACACACTGATGCTGTAAGGACGTTGTGGGCGATTCCACTCACTTGTGATTAATATAACAGCTTAAAGACAGTCAGTTAAGGCAGATTTTGGCTTTCACCCAAATCAGATTCTTGTCATTTGGAAAATAAAAGACCTCCAAAGTCTCATTGACAGCTGTTCGTCTGAATTAAGGCTTTTTTCCCATTACCATTATCAGAAAATGCTTTTGTACAGTGTTTATGTAAATGTCTTATATTTGTCTGCTGCTACTGTAATCATTAATGTTGTTGTGTTAAGCTTTATCGAGGTACAACAGATTGGCCCAGAGTAGCACTTAAGTGCATATTAATATGTATATATATATATGTATAAATATATTACATTTCAGCATTTCATAGTAATGGTCCTCTCTGCAGCTGCGTAGAATAAATGTCTAATTATTTATTTTTTAATTTATTTTTAATTTTTTTGGAAAACGGAGGGTTAAATTTCGCGTCTGCTGTCCATGCGCCATTGACCACACACCCATAAGTGCAGTTGATAAGCTAATGACACTGTGGACTGCATGAGGCATTAATTAACCCTGTATGAAGCACTAATTAAGTACGTCTCAGTCATCACTGTCTGTCACTATTACTAATGGAGCACCATGTTTTGTCCCCAACTTTTCGCCCTTGGTGTTTTTTTATTTCTTTTTTTTTGTTTTGTTTTGTTTTCCTTTTGGTTTGTTTGTTTTGTTTTTTGTTTTTTTTTATTTGAACCCCTTCAGGCGAAGGAGCCTCTTTGCCTTCCTTACTCTTCTGCCATCCTGCCTTTGGACTGACTATCTTTTGGCTTTTTATATTAATCCGTGGTAAGTAAAAGCGCTGACAGCCAGATGCTGCATCATGGAGGCATGTGTGAGAGGCCCACAGCCTGTGCTGGCGACCATAGACACAGCAGCACATTGTCACATTTTCCATTTTTTGCTAAAAGCAACACAAACACTCTTAAAAATAAGGTTCTTAAATGGTCCTACGGACATATGGTTCTGAAAAAATATTTAATTTGTGTAGAACAGGGCTGCCAAAAATGTGGACCGTGGACCAGGGTTGTCCTGTGAGCATGTTTGATTTTGCCTGCCAGAAAGCCCACCCTCACCCACCAGAAGAGAACAAACAGCTGTGCACTATGTTTAGCTTAGATTTTAAATCAAATTCCGATTTTACAGTTTGTTACTAAATTTGAAGTCTTTTAGTAAAATGTAGTGTGTAGACTGTTGTGTCTTTTTCACCCTCAATCCACCACAAACATTGCACTTCGGCCCCCAGGACAGAAAGTTTGGGCACCCCTGATCTAGAGCCTTTCCATTATGCGGAGGTTCTTTAAACTTTGTAGGTTCTTTACACATCTCATTTACAAAATTATTTTGCAGTTCTTCTTGGGGATCAAAGAACCCTTTTCGGCCTTTGTTTTTAAGAGTGTAGGAAACTGTTTCTGTAGTAATGATTTCAATGCTCGGGTGACCATTTTGCAGTCTAAATAGCAAAACGCGTCACTTTCTCTCATATGAAGCTTTGATGCTGTGCAGTACAACAAAGATTCAAGGCTGTTGTGCATCTTTGTTGGAACCTTTTAGTGAAATGCTCTGTCTATGGTTGTGGCTGAACCCAGTGGACTGTGATCACTAAAAATAAGCAGTATCACCAAAAGCATGATATGACAACAAATAGCATGAAAAGATCATATTGTAGAAGGTCTTTTCCTACAGCTAACACAAGCTGCATGCTGTCTAGACACTGAACAACTAACCCTCCATAGAAGCACTAGCAGAATGCACTGATGTTGTAGTTTTCTAGGATTTCTAGTTAAGAATGTTTGGCCTTGGTCTTTTGATTTGCATGTGTTTTTTTCCTGGATGTAATAGATATCTACAGTGAATATGGGTATGAACATAGTGTGAACATGTGTTATTGATTATTGATTAACCCTGGGGAGAAATGCATGCTTCCTCTGAAAGCCAGACTTTGTTACCAAAAATGTCTGCAGAACAGAATGATGTAACATCCAGAGGCTTGTAGTTTAAATCCCTTATCATCTCATCTGATCTTGTTAGATGAGTAATATAGAATGCTTTGATAGTCTGCGGTGATGTATGAAGCAGATTTTGTGTGGTATTGTAATAAATAAAACAAAGAGCATCTTAGTAAAGTATACTGCACCTTTCTGTACCTGTAGGAGCAAGACTGCTCTAAAGAAAAGGAAGCTAACAAGGTAATCCTAACTAACTGACTGTTTTTTGTTTTGTTTTTGCCTCTGTGTATATGTGTGTCTGGTATATTTTCCTGTGTGTGTCCACTGCTGGGTTTCTATCCACATATTTTTATGTACATTGAATATAAAAGACTGAATGGAAACAGTAGATATTGAATAATATTGCCAGCTTTGCATAAAAGTTTGTGTTTGTTTGAAGTAAATAAGTAAGTAAATGTTTTGCTGGTACAAAGGAAATGTGATCAGTTATGCTGGGAACGCATTTTCTGAGTAAATAATATAAATGGAAATAGAATTTGCCCAGCTGTAGTAAGGCAGCAGATTCCAGTGGACTAATGAAGAAACTATAATGTAGCATTATCTTATAAAAGAAAAAACATAATAGTGATATTAGACAGTGAACACGTTTAAGGTACATGTGTCGCTGCAGTACATTTTGTCTTTGTGCTCTCGCAATGAAAAATATGGCCAAAAAAACTAAACAAAACAGCAACAAGTTGCTCATGAAAGATCTGCCTGTAAACTCGGTCCATAATTCTCAGAATAGTTTTATGAACAGTCTAATTCGCATAATTATTTTGCAGCTTTTCAGTTGTTCCCTTCAATTTACTTTGACAGCTGGATTGAAACCTGGTTACTGTTTTTTGTTTTGTTTTGTTTTGTTTTTTTTTGTTTTTTTTGCATGTAACCTGAGAACTGCTTTACTAAAACTCGCCTAACACTCCATTCAGAGTGGATTAGTTCTGACTATTTTAAAGGGAACTCTTTGTGTGAAGTACTGCATGGTGTCGTCAAGAAGGCTATCATTAATTATGAATCTGTGTTTATACAGAAGTGATACAGTGTAGCTCACATGTCACTGGCAGTAGTTTCAGCCTCCCAAGCCCGTATTTTATTCACAATTCTGCAGTGACAGTCTGTGCTTGTTGTTTGAACGTTGCTCTTTTGTGTGCAGCCCAGTGCAGTTAGACGACTTTGAGGCTTACGTCAAAGACATGAGCAAAGACTCCGCATACAAGTTTTCGCTGCAGTTTGAGGTGAGGAAACAATGAGAAAAATTCTTTAAATAATTCTGTTGAGTATCAGTTAATACAGATACCAGTTGGGTGTTTTTTCTTTTCAAATCTGCTAAGCGTTAAAGGGGGGGTACTTTTTTAATTAAAGCTAATTTACACCAGCCTTCTAAAATTAGTGCATGTTCATGACTATGTGAGAAAAAATTAAAAAGTTCCTGAACTTACTGAAATACTGTCAAAATGCAGCTGGTTGTTCTCATGTTAACATTAGGCTCTGTGGCTACTGTGGCCGCTTGCCATTATCATGCAGTTACTTTCATTACGTGGCCTACTTGGCTTTAAGTTTTGTGAGGCAATCCACATTGATATTTCAGGCAAGATTTGCTATAGAATTGGATGAGGTTCATTCTGATATTCTGTCCTAGCTCATCCTTTAGCTGATAACGGCTCCATACCGATAACCAGTATCGGATTGGTTCCATCTCTAGTGTGGGCATTTCATGAGGAATAGACCAACAGAAATGGTCCACAACTGGAATTAACCTTTTTACACTAATGTACATTAAGAATATATTTTTGCCGTTTATTTGACAGTCATTTATATGGAATGTCTAGCACTACATGGTTGTGTGTGGTTATTGTGTAATAACTGAAACATGAAAGCTTCTGAACTGAGAGAGAGAGAGGCAGGAATTTTGGCCATACCTGTAATCAGAGACATTTGGATATGTATTTTTCTCATTATAGGAGTTGAAGAGCGTCGGTCTAGACCTTTCCCACGATGCTGCAGATCTGCCAGTAAACAGACCCAAAAACCGCTACACCAACATCTTGCCCTGTGAGTGCTCCTCCATCACCTCCTCACCCGGCAGAGCTGTAGTGACACTACACCCACTCACCAGTGACTCTGGCACATGCACAGCACTGTAGTGTTAAGAAGCTGTCAGTAATCTGTCTTGTTTTGTCTGTTGTGTTTATTACTACGTTACTGACTGCTATCACTGACGTTGATGAAATGCTTCTGTTTCAAACAGATGACTTCAGCCGAGTGAAGCTTATCTCTATGCACAATGACGAAGGCTCAGACTATATTAATGCCAACTACATTCCAGTGAGTACTTACTGATCTGTTCATATATCAACAGCACCAACAGCACATTAACCCTTAGAAAGGTAGTTATTACTGATGTTTTGATAAAGTACTTAAATATAATTACGTTTGCATAATTTAGTGCATAGTTTGCTAAGTATGTAATCTAATTACATTTATATTTGATCCTCACTCAATAGCTGTGAGTCTTTTTTTCTGTTTGTAAAAGAATGGCAAAAACAGAATAAAGTTTGTTTTTTTTTCTAGACAACATGCATGAATAGGTTAACTCTCAGTTGAAACAACTGTTTGTGACATTGACAGGGTTATAAATCGCCTCGAGAGTACATTGCCACGCAAGGGCCACTCCCGGAGACACGCAACGATTTCTGGAAGATGGTGCTGCAGCAGAACTCGCACGTCATCGTCATGTTGACTCAGTGCAACGAGCGCAGGAGGGTCAGTTCCCATGGCAACCTGTTTGAGCCTGTCCGTTATTCTTCTCGACCCCACGGCATCGTAATTAATGAGTGCAGAACGTGACAGCCTTGTTTAACTCAAGCCCTGAATCTTTACAGGGAGAAAATGAAGATAATCTGAATCATGATTGTGTGCAGAGTATCTGATGGCAGCAGTGCATCAGCAGTTTGTAACAAGTGTTTATTCAGAATTGTTTCAAAACAAATATAAATAGTAAATTTATTTCCAAAACAAATGTTTTAATGCCAAAAAATCTGTAGTTTTCAGCAGCTTAAAGGTGCTTAGCACATGTGAAGCTTCTTTAAGCCAGGAAAAGCATAGTGTGGGGCTCTTTGTGAAGCTGCGTGAGAAAATGAAGACGAGTATGTAAAACTGCATCGAGACAAAGTGGGGGTACTTTGAAAACCTAAAACAGATTTTTTTTGGTCACTGCATAATTTCACGTCATCTCTTTACTATTTTAAAATGTGGAAGATACACTATAGCATAGAGACCCTTTTGAGTGTATCCACACTTTTAACTGGTATTCTGTGTACATATTAAATGTATAGTCTGACTTGTGGTTTCTCACACAGGTGAAGTGTGATCACTACTGGCCATTTACAGATGAGCCTGTGTCGTATGGGGAGATCACAGTGGAGATGCTATCTGAGAGTGAGTCTCCTGAGTGGACCATCAGGAACTTCCGACTGGGCTATGTAAGTGTATGCGAGAGACACAGTCCACACTGAAGCCGCATTGCGCACAAAGTTTCAAAGCATGGAGCAGCATGTAGTAAACCATTGATTGCACAGCCAAAAGAGTTTCAATATGTGCTTTTAACAAAACCTTTAGACAAAACCTGCTCTCAAGACATTTTGATAAGTATAGCAAAATATAAGAAAATTGCAGATAAAAACATTGTTTTACCCAAACAGTTTGGCTTTACATTTTTTTACTTCCTTCATCAAGTGAAGAATATATGACATGGTAGGCATTCAGAATTTACATTTTTTTGTAGAAAATAAATGTGTTATGAAAATCTCTTGTTTTGCAGGTGCTAAATAACTTACAGTATTTATGTACGATCTGTTTTCTAAAATTCATTATAATAATCCCAGTATTTTGCACTTTAAGAGGGAATCTCCTATAAATGCATATGCAGAGTTCCCCTTTGGTCTTTTATTATGGGTGCTATAGAGCTACTGCACCTATTTATCAAATAGCAGCAGTCAATTTTTTAATGCCAAAATAGGTTTTGGGACTGCACAAGCTGTTAGTAGATCTGTCTTCTGTGTGCGGGACGGTGGTGTTTTCCACTGTGCTCTGTTTGAACAAGTTAAAATGAATGGAAATGTGATTACACGTGCATCAGTGCAAACACAAGCTGAAAACACAATGCTGAATTATCAGTTGTAATCATCGTCTGTAATTCAAATATTAGACCAATATTAGCAATTGTTTTATTTATCAGTAATCAGTGACTGATCCCCTCAGCAAATTATGTACACCAATAACAGGTCACAGCTTTGTAATGAAATCCAGCAAGACAAACACATTGCTTAAATTATAAGTGACCTACATGGTGTTTTTAAATGGTTCAAGCTAACAGCTGGGAGTGTCTGTTGTGAGTCAGCTCGACAGTTGCCCGAGGAGTCGTTTTTGTGTCTTGTGGTCTTCTGTCTCATGACTTGGTCTCAGTGCCTCTGTTGCTGTTGCCCCCTACAGGCAGATGAGACGCAGGATGTGCTGCATTTTAACTACACATCATGGCCTGACCACGGGGTGCCCACGGTCAACGCCATCGAGAGCATCCTACAGTTTGTGCAGATCGTCCGTCAGCAAGTCAACAGGACTAAAGGACCAGTTATAGTGCACTGCAGGTGAGGACAATTCTACTCTAGATCTGATTTGACAACAAATTGTTTTTGGCATGTAGATAAAATACAGACCCTACAAACACCATAATCAATTCTCTACACTGATATTCATGTCTAAACCCATACTGAAGTAAACATTACTGTTACTTCAATTAAATAATGACTCTGAAGTAATGAGCAAATGAAATATGAACACTAACTTGAGTAGAACTAACAAAGTATCAGTTCCCCTTCAAACAGCAATGGAACTCTTTATTACATGCAGCATCTTCTGTATAAGCATATGAACTGAAGCTCTGTTCTTTTCTTTTTATGATACTTTTGGTCTAAAAAGAAAATGCTGAAGCTAAAAATCGAGAGGTGTGAGCAACAAAGCAGTCCAGGAGCTGAACCAACCAAACAGATTTAAATCAAACCCTTTAAAAGGCACCAAAAACTCAATGTGGAACTGAATAAAACGATGTTTTTCTCCAGAATGTGTTAATATAAGCATAAATATTATAATTAGAAAAAAAATAGAAATACAAATCCATTAAAATGTACTAAAATAGAGTAAACAAAACTATTTACTACCCACCCTGTACATGAAAGTGAAAGTACATGAAAAGTTGTGTTTAAAACACTCCCTGTGCGATGTGTCCTCATCGAAACATTTTGTGGTTAGCAAGTAAGGGTCAATGACTGCAACAGATTATACTGAAAACATCAGCAGGCAGAAAAGCATTGGTGCAGTCACTGAGCACTTGGTGGTGTTTAGTGGCCATTCAGAAAAAGTCAGTGTGGAATGAGTGTAGTCTGAGAGTGAGCCTGTGTTAATGTTAGAGAGACTGTAAAGAACTTCCAGATGTTTTAGGTCTCCTACAAAAGTCTCAGAGAAAAGAAGCAGAAGCTGTAGCACATAAGTGAGGCATTTAGGCTAATTTACAGTACAGTGGACTACAGTTACAAAGTGGGCCGAGTGGTCGGGTTGTAATCGTTGTGGCGGCCTGCCAGCTATTGATTCTCTGTGAGGCAAAAGAGTTTGGTTAAGAGGATGTTACAGAGACTGCATCAAGAGGAAATCTGATCCAACTCAAACCTTACAAGAACGTGGTGGTGTGAATTCAAATAGCTGCCATTATATTCAACATGTATATAAACAAATATATTCACATGGATCTTGCAAAACTATTAAAATAGGTCGGGAAAAGGTCAGAAAATGACCGCTGTTTGAATAAATGCAGCACATAATACATAATTAATACATAACATTAATACATGCTGTATCTGAGTGGGCATTGCTGTTCCTTTGTTAAGTCCCTGAAATGCATAGTAATTGTGTAACAGCCCCCTTATCACCCCTTCATCTATTGTTAATGTAATTTGGTGAAAACACGAATAATACAGTTTGCATTGTAAAGCCATCTGTTAGAAGTAATATAATGTTGCTATATTACTGTAATAATCCTAATTTTCAACTAATCTGATATTAATGCAGCAACTAGGCAAAATAAGACTAAGACTAATCTAGACTAATCTGAATATATCGAGTACATTCATTCTGTATACTTAAATATTCTGATTCTCATAGTGTTGCAAGTAAGGTCCATTTTTACTGCAGTAGCTGTGTGGATGTGTTGTTTCCTTGTTCTTTGTGGCCGATTTTATTGCTTCCCAGCTGCCTAGACATAGTTCGTGTAACCCAGCTTTACAGTGAACTGGGCCTCAGCCACATTCCCTGTTTTATTTTCATGCCACAGCAGTGAATCTTTGACCTTGTGTTTAGACTCACTGTCCTACAGAAAGGAGAATGTTCGCTCTCTTCAGTTTTTTAGCAGACTGAATGAGGGGTTTTTGCCCTTTCTGAGTCTGCTGCGCTCCTTTTCTACTTCATTGCCTCTACTTTTGTCATTTTCGTCTTTCATCTTGACAAGATTCCCAGTTCTTGGTGCTGTGACTACCACACTGCATTTTATGAATGGCTTAATTGTTTTCAACATTGTCGCTAAAGTCCCTTATGAAAAAGAACTATATTAATGCTATAGGAATTGTTGGGGTTCAGCTGTGTATGCCGCTGCTGATTTTTTTGGGCTTGGGGATTTGAGCTTCATAATCTTTTAGATTTACAGAATTCTTGAATGACTGGACATCTGAGCCTATCCAAACAGTTTCATGTATAAATCCTTTAGTGCTAACTCCTTGAGAAGGTCCGAGTCCCCCCTGCCCAAACATTTCCAAAACAAAATTTAAAGAAAAAAAAATCAACACACTTCTGTGAAGACCCAAAGCAGGAATCCTGGAAAAGGTTAAAAAGGATCCCAGCACAATGTTTGTGTGTATGTGTCCTCTCCCTCTGTAGTGCTGGAGTTGGCAGGACAGGCACGTTCATCGCTCTGGACCGCTTGATGCAACACATCCGGGAGCATGAGTACGCTGATATTTTGGGCATGGTGTCTGAGATGCGCTCCCATCGACTCTCCATGGTGCAAACAGAGGTAAAGCAGTGAATCTGACGTCAGCAATGAGATTATTTTTCAAATAAGCTGAATTTTGTCATTTTCCCTTCATAATTTATATGTTGCTTCAAAAGAGAATTCCTCAGGAGCTTGGAGCCAATTGTGTAGCTCATCTGCAGCTTATATATCAAATCTACTGATTCTTTTGTTGACAAAGATAGTGTAAGCAGTGCAATTACAGCTTGAGAACAAGTGATGACTCTCTGTGCAGGAGCAGTACGTCTTCATTCATCAGTGTGTCCTGCTTATGTGGAAGAAGAAAAAACAGCAGAGTCTCAGCAGTGACGTCATCTATGAGAACGTCACCAAGTCTTAATGGCGCCCAGGATAAGTATGTGTACAAAAGGGGAAATGAAAGTTTGGATTGTTGGGGTAAATGTTAAATGCAGCTCGAAATTACAAAAAATGCTTTTGAACCATGAGAGTTTTTCAACTGCATATAAAAACACAGATCCAAACGGGGACGAACGTAACCTATGGTTTAAGTCTTGTTCATTGTCCACAGCTGGACAGTTAACAACTTTTTTGCCTTTTTGGTCATTTTATGCCACTGTGAAGCTTCTAATTTGGCAAAGTAGTTATCTTGCTTGCTAGTTAACATAATTCATGAAGCTAATCTAGTTTACTTTCTGGTGCACTTAAATTCATGTAGTAGTACTTGGTGACTTTATTTCCACCTGGAAAAGTAAAGAATTCAGTAAATTGTCTTTGGTTTCACCTGTGTTAATAGTATAACAGCGATAGTAAAGAACCCCAGTGAGTGCCAGTAGGTCCTAATGGTACCAATCTGATGACCAGTGGAAAAAGCACAAGTCCAGTTTTCTGGTGCCAGGGGTTCAAGTACTTTGTGCAACTGAAAAATGTTTGAACAACTAAAGTAGTTGCCAACTGTGACATTAGCTGCCACCTTTCTGGGTGTACTGTGTTTGAATGCACTTTGGCTTGCCAGCAAAGGATTGTCTGAGTTTTAATTTCAGTAGGTGGGCTTAGTCTCTTTGCTTAAAAATATTTTGTATAATTTAACTGTCTACTTTTGATTGTGAACGGTCCGCCAAATTGAATCTAAGCATGGCTCTTTGTGTTTTGCAGGCTGTGGCGATGCACTTCACTCTCCTTTGCTTCAGGCATTTGTTCTCTGCTTAGAGGCCTACAACATAAACACCAAAAAAAGAAAAAAGACTGCAGCCAAGGAGAGAAAGACGCCATCCAAGTACCCCCATTCTGTTGTTTGAATTGGTGAAAGCATGACGGGACAAAACATTTGCCTTAAGGAACCTACATCACCATCCACAAGCCAGAATACTTTCTACAACTCTTGCCAAGAGTACAAAGAGTAACTGCAGAAGTTTTAGATGGAGCCTTTGAGGTGAGAGCATGTTGAAGCGCTGGCACCCTCTAGTGGAGGCAAGAGACAGAACTTGGTTTATCGTTAGCCTGTTAGTTTTTAATCTCAGGAGTTATCCGCATACCCTGCAAGCAGACACGGCCGTGCCCACAGCAGAGGGGAGAGGAGGACCGCGCGCTTGTCTGGGGGTTAGTCTCCGAGTTTGTTTTAGGCTGTTGTAGAGTGTAATTTCGTGTGCTCGTTTCACACACATCGTACGTACACATGGAATAGTGTTAGTATTCATTGCCTTGGTTTCTGCAGCTGCATCGTGCTAAAGCGCTAGCACCAGCTGGCGTCAGACTCTGTCACACTGCCACTCCCCATAGGGGAACATTCCGTACAAGTGAAGTGTGTATGTGTGTATGCGTGCGTTATCTACTGCTGTAATACTTTCTCCACATACTACTCTTCGGTACTAGGGCCCGATTGGATGGAGGATTTGTTGAGGTGACGAGGCACGGTACAAAACTGCCCACGTTCGGTACTGAATGATTTGCACTGTATTATCTGTACTGTATGCTAAGCTGTGCTGACTGCCAGCTGCGTTTCTCCACTGTGGAGAGCGTTACTGAGCTACAGCATCTGCCCTTGCAGCATCTCCTCCTAGCTGGATGGCTTCACTGGTTCTGTAGTAGAAAAACAAGATCAAGCAGAGCAGCAAAGTTTGGACAATGCGATTGGACTACCAGAGCTTTCTCTTGGTCATGAAGTGGAAGTGCAGTGGACCACCCTGAAGCTGTGGGAAGCCTCCAGAGCAGGAATGTGCATATCAGTCTTCTCGTACGTGATCAACGCTGGCTGATGCCGAGACTGGGAATACTCGCAAAAAAAAAAGAAAAGGGAACTCCCAAGATTTGTTGAGGCTGGCTCAACCTAATGTAAACCTGAACAGCTCTGATTTACACGGACAGACATATCTGTTAAAGTAGGGATGCATGATGAGGATGGTGTCCTTCACATATGGGGATCTGATGGTGAAGCTGTTATCACCCATATTTATGCTTACATGTAAGAAATGTGCAACAGCAGTATTTGCAACCAATGTGGAATCAGCTGTATCGGTTCAGAAGTTTCATATTGGTACATCCTCTCAACTTTCCTTTTCAAGTTTCTTGAGGTTCGCACAGCAGTGACTCAATGTAAATTCTCTATTGCTATACACTGAAAATTTCCCAGTGCCAGTATAGCACTACCAATACTTGATTACGTCCTGACATTACAGGTACTGTACTTAGTCTTATGATTCAACTAGAGTCTCTTGACAATGTTTTGCACATGTTATATACTGAGGTATAACATACATACTGAGACATAGTCCAGTCTATTAAAGCAAATGTATGGCTGTCACTGGCATTGAGGGTTTTAATCCCAATAGAATAATAATTAATTTTAGAAATTAGATACAGAATCCCTTAGATTTTTGCCGGTATCGAACAGTATAAGGTACAATGCACTGTCACAACAGATCTCACCCACACATTATCAGACATGCCTGCTTAATCAGTATGATCTGCTGGAGTCCACAAGTGGCACCAGCATTTGGCTACATGTGCAAAGACTTCAAAATAATGGCATGTCGTTCAGCTTGTGCTAAACGATTTGGATAAAATCCGTCTTTGAAGTGTTTACAAATTCAACATCAATTGGGTGTTTATCGTTGGCCTCTTTTCCACTCGAGCCAAATGGATCTCAGGGCTGCTCTGCGCTAGTCCGGAGTAGTGAGACCGGTTACGGTGTCTTTTTTTTTATCGGTTGTGCCGCTAAATCAGAACCAGGACAAAATGAAGAAAACTACACGAACGAGTGGCTAACTGCTGACAGACTAATAGCTACTCGCACACCCATAGATAAAACCACATGCATTCTGTCGGTCACTCTACCTCCAGTTTCTCGGCGTGCTCTCATCATCTTTATCCTCTAAACGGGTGTTATTAGGTCTTCAGTTAGTGAAACAGCCGGTACTGTGGTGGGTTTCATCTGTAGCCGGGTAACTGCAGTATCATTAGCGCCGTCCAGCAGGCTGCAGCTCAAAGACCCGCAGAACGGTTCTGATAGTATCTTTTTGTTACTTCAACATCAGACTTTCGAGTTTGTGCTGTCAGACACGAGCCCGTGCTGCAGTGGGAGGCACCGTACACTCGCGTTAGCTTGTAAGTTGTAGGTTTTTGTCACTGTCTATACTTGTGGTAGCGGGGCAGTTAGTCGAATTAAACCCGTACTGGGGTGTTTGGATCTCTTTACCAAGTTAGCTAGGAGAAAGGAGGACCCAGACACCAGAGAACAGGGTTAATTTCGACTTTCTGTTCGTTTGAAGTCACTTCCTCAGATTATCATTATCATTTAAAATTGTCAGTAAAGCTCTTGTTAGTCAGAATCGAATCTGTTTTGTGGTGAGCAGAGCTGGTAGCATGCTAGCTAGCTAGCTAAGCTAATGCTACTGGTTAGCATTTAACATTTAGAAATTGATGTTAGATTGAAGCTTTGACGTTTATTGAATGGCGGATTTCAAGTCGTACATGGCTTTCACTTATATGGCTTCCATGTATGTAAACTGAACTCGTTTCATTTGTTTGGAATAACGCCGCTGGATGCAGTGTCAAAAGTACGGAGCCCGGTAGGGGTCACTAACGAGAAAAGGAAAATCTGTCCCCGCAGTTCAGTAATCCGTACTCTCAGTTTATAAACTGTGCCCACGGATTTGTAAACCTGTACTCTCGGTTAGCAAAACTGTACCGACGGATTTGTAAACTGTGTAAAGCACACACTACCTCCCCCAGCTACGGTACAGGCCACATTTATGAGATATTTTGAGGAACTGGAGAATTTTGTGACATTTCTGAATGAGGTCAGGCAATTGGACGACACAACTGTATCGACCTTTCATGATGAAAAGATAAATATAAGCAAGTAACGTTAACGTGACATAAAGCAGACATTACCAGAAAGTAGGTAACGTAGGATAGTGTGCTGTAGCTTTTACATACACCGTTTTCAACGGCTTTAACATTTAATTAAAGTACAGTTTAACCTTAGTGCTTAACTGGAGTGTTTTGTAGAAATGTATTATGTGAATGCACTTGTTTAAAACGAGGCAAAAATAATCTCGTTTTTGCCTATATTATCCCACCACGCGGCCAGCGACGACTGAACGGAGTTTCAGCCCGAAGAGCAAGAATTGCTGGATATTTATAGCCCAGTGAACAATCGACGTCATTTCAGTACAGTACACTTTACAAATCCGTCGGTACAGTTTTGCTAACCGAGACTGCAGTTTACAAATCTGTGGGCACAGTTTATAAATTGAGAGTACTGATTACTAAACTGCGGGGACAGAGTTTCCTCCTCACATTTTTTTCCTCGTTAGTGACCCATACCGGGCTCCGTACAAAATACCGTCAAAAACGTACAACGTAAAATCAGCGAATAGCTACGTCGTTGCGTCATCCTACCAAACGTTTCTGTGGCCCCGAGTACGGTTAGAGCCGGTTTATGAGGAGTCTGGCCACTTTCTATTCCCCCCGTTACATTAAAAACAGGACTGCCGAACAGCAGAGGGCGCCCGCCAGTGAGTCCTCAATGAATGGGAGTGAATGGTGCTTAACGGTTAAAAACGAAAAGTTAAAATAGTTACTAATCACTGAACCAGAACGTTTCTTTAATTTTAGAAAGTAGAAGGATGGATTTCACCAAAAAACAAAGAAATCTTACCGATATATTTCCTTTTTTCTACAGCAAACGGGTTTTAGACAGCAGAAGGCGGGTTTTACTGCTGGAGTGTGTTGATTGATTGGCGAGCGGAGCAGCTCATTGGCTGTTCGCGCTCACTGACGTCATGAACATACATGAGGCGCCGTTTTAAACTCCTATAACTCGAGTTTAAAAGCCCTTAAAATATAACAGCAGTGTTAAAATGTTATGCTGTTCTGTGTTCAGGAAAAGATTGCATTCTTTTACATTAGAAATGTTTAAGCATTTATAAACTATGATTTTGCTCAAATGCTCCTGATCAACCCATTCATTTTGGACTCACTCGGGAGCGCCCTCTAGTGTTTGAGAAAACCGGAAGACATTACAGAGTGGTAATTCTCCTGGTACGGTTAGCTAACCCGTTTTTAAGCGTTCCGGGTCAAACAGTGTCTGTGTGGAAAAGCCACTGGAACCGTTACCCACAGTGCTCAGAACTGTTCAGCCCTGTAGTGGAAAAGAGGCCGTGGTAATTACTGCAGGTATTTATGCAGAAAATGTTCCAAGACTGACATCTGCCATAGTGACCTTGAATGATTTCTCCATAGTACAGGGAGGAACATTAACTGAACAAACACCCGATACACTGGAAATAATGTAATGATAATAATTGGAGAGGATTTCTTAACAATCGTCATCATTTGAAAGAGTCACCTCACGTTTCCTGTTTTAGAGAGCTGTGTGTTTTGGATCAGTCAAGACAGCTCTTCCCAGCACAGAGAGGGCTGCGTCAGAACAGAAGGAACATGGGCTGCTTCACTCTATTTTATAATTTTTTTCTTTAAAGTAGTGTGTGTCGAGTTCTGCGTCCTGTTTGTCTTTGGTGCCATTTTTGTGCAATGTGTCACTTACACTAGAGGGGCGATTGCAGATCGTCTTCACAGAGTTTTAATGTGCGTGATTATTAGAAACAAAAACAATAAATGCAAATGTTTTTTCTGGGAGAATAAAGTGGCTTTTCTCAGTTCTTCAAAATGGCACAGCTGTAGTAACAAAAGGCTGAGGTCAAGTAGAATGTTAACTGAGTCAGAGCAATTGCAGAGAGAAAAATGTTTTTTTTGTCTGTACCTTACAGCTCTTGGGTAAAGCCTGCCCTCTGTTGATGGCATAAACTGTTCCTCGGGCCTGATTCCCATTCCAAAAACCAAGAATCCATGGTACTAGAGTGCATGCTTTTTCTTATAATTCACTTGGATTCTTGGGAGAACCAATGCAAGACCATTAAACACGGACCATATCCGGTCATAAATGCATATAAGGCAGAAAAGAGTTCATATGTATCCATTTATTCTGTATATTATCAGCGTCATGCTCCTTGGTGAAGCTGTTACCCATTTCCCGTTCAGCTAAGAAAGAAGGACCATCCTTTAGCCAAAGCATGTAGTGAAATATACTGTTTTCACACAGCATAGCGGGACTAAACAAAGTAGATCTGAAAAGGGAGTGGAGCATGAACTGTGGATTCCCACAGAGAGAAAACGGCTTGTCAGATAAATTAACAAAAGAGCCTTTGTAAGGCTTTCACCATTTTTAAATGTAACAAGACAACTGCTGTTTAAGTGTGGGCGTGGAGATGTATGGGGCAAAAAAGAACTTCATTGATGATCATGGCACTTGAGCTACATGAGACACCAAGAGTGGGAAAACAGGTGAATGCATACAAATAGGTACCATTATAATTCGTACTGTAGGTCATTATGAATGATTCTCTCTATTATAGAGTCCAGTCTTCCAAAGTGACATTCAGCTTACATTCGAGAAACATGAATGAAACCCTTCTGATTGTGAAAGTAAACATTTAAAATCAAAATGCTTGTGGTTGGATATCAAATAATGCACGTCCAAAATGGTGAAGAGAATTACAAAATTATTCTGACAGAATATTGCTGGAAATCATAATAAAAAACAGAGATGATTAATCATGCAGGTGTTGGAAGAATTTAACCGCAGTCTTTGTAAGCTTTACAGTGGAGGCAAGTATGAAAAATTCCCTGAAAACAATCTACAGCTGAAGGTGGGAGACTGCCTGCTAAAGGACAAATGTGTATTCTAATGTGGCCACATCTGCGTTCTGTTTCTGCTCTACATCTCAACAACGAGTCATATAAAGTTAATCTTTTGGCATTATGCTTAAATAGAAATGATCATATACATAAATATCCTCTCTGAAAGCAAACAACCAACATACACAATGATAGTCTCTAAACTATCAGCTCTTTTCCCAGTCATATCGCACCTATTCTCATTATTGGCCTCTGTTGGCTCCACTCTATGATTCCTAGAGCGATATTCTAGAAGAACTACATTCCAAGCTGATAACCCACCTCACAAATGTGATGATTCACATTTACAGTGGAGAATCCGACCATTCTAGGAAAGAAGGTCCATATAAAAATCTGAGTAAATCAAATCCTCTTCTTTACCTCCATCCTTCATGTATCACAGGTAGTGAATTTTGAAAATCTACTGGAGTAAGACAACATTTAAATGTGCCCTTGTCAACATATCACAGCTTCAGTCTTCAACTTGTTTGCAAGCACACGTCACAATACTTCCTGGGACGATACAGTCCAGTCCACTGGTCTGAAAAAGTTTCACTCTGCATTCTTCCTGGTCAAACAAATTACAGCAGGACTACACAATGAATATTCAGGATATTTACTTTGTTGTAATATAATATTAATGCCTGAAGACATTGACTTAATGCTTAACTTGATGGCTCTACAACTATGTGCTCTTCGGACTTCTTTTTTTTCTTCTTTTTTTAATCTACTGAAATCTTCCAAGTAGTGTTTTGGTCTATGTAGCAAGTAGTGTACAAAATCTACACCTACAGTACTCCTTCATTTCACCAAGTACAGTACAGCGGAAAGCACTTCAATCTACATCCGAGGTGGTTCCATTGTCCGGCGGGTCCAGGAGCTCCTGTCGGCGGCGCATGATGGCTGCAAACTGGGCACGCTCGGATGCGTCCTAGAAAAGGACAATGTGAGAAGGATGAAAGAGAGCGAGAGGGGAGGAGGGGTCAGTGGTTGCTGCCCTCGTCAAAGGACTCCACCCCCGAGTCACTGGCTGCCGCCGCTAGTTTCTCCTGCCTCCTCCTCATGATCTCCTGCAGCTCTGAGCCAGAGCTCCTCTGCATTGAAAAAAGGCGAGAAAGACTGTGGATTAAATTAAAGGTAATGTATAGTGAAAAATTACATCACGCATTTTTCACCCTTTACCCCAAATGCAGGCAATCAGCCAAGAACTTTTATGTTCATGGACAAAAATCTAAAATATTAACAAAATTATAAACTTCAAGAAACTACTACTACTGATTTTAGCTTTGCTTCTAAAATTCACTTTTTGGCATTATATATATATATTATTTTATTTATTTATTTTTTCTACTTACATGGTGGACAGGTACATGCAGGGTGCTAGTACCCAAAGAAAACTTATTTTGTTCAAATTTACCACTTTGTTTACATCTCAGCAGCTCAACTATGCTGAAAAGTTTGCTACTTCATTTTGACTTAGAAAATCAACAAAACTAAACATCTAAAACAAAACACCAAACACTTCCTGGCTGATCGACTACACGAGGGCTATGAGGAAAACTGTACATTCAGTTTTGTATAAACTATCCATTTAGGTTGTACATTAAAACAAAGTCTTCTGGAAAGATACATGTAGTTAGGACTGACGTGTCAAAATGACTGCATGACATGAGGACGGAAGCACTGAGGTATGAAACAGCACAAACCTTAAGACAGAACATGAGGCAAAAGGAGGGCTTTATCTTTCAAACTAGAAGGGCATTCACTGTTCTACAAGCTAGGAAAACTATAGTAACAATGCTAACATTAGCCTGGGATCTACACACCCAAGCACCCACATAGTGTGTCTATGCAGAGGTCAGTGTGGTAGCCATCCGTCATCACACAGGTGTGCCTGGATCACCAGGATACCACTCCAAAGATATGGGTGAAGGGACAATGGGCAAAAGCTACTTTAGAGTAGATATTTTATGTCTGTATCTTGAAGGTATCTCAATTTTACTACCTTAAACCGTTCTACTTATTCTCTGTTGGTCAGATTTACTGTGATAAAGAATGTATGAAGAAACCTAATGACACTTATCAATGTTACAAGATGCAACCATAGCAACAATGTAAACAAAACAGACCAGAACTAAACAGAAATGTCTACTGCACAGAATGTGTACCTTTGCCTTTATGGCATAGTTGTGCAATAACTGTGGTTATTATAGCTGGTTTTATCAGAAAGACAGAGAAACTAAAAGTTGCTATGAAGTAGGGGGAGGCGATAAGGCAAAAATATAAGATCGCAATACTTCCAAGATATTTTCAATGAATAAAATGTATCAATTTTTTTTTGCCGATTGGTAAGTTGAAAAAAGAAGGAACCACAGTGCCACATTAAATACATAGTATCATAAAACTATGAATATGTAATATTTTATAAGGTTTAATGTAACGTTTGATAATGTTTTAAAATATTTAAATATTATAATATTATATATAATATAATATTATAATATGTTTCATTTACTGCATTAAATCCAATCAAACATGACTGTGTTCTCTTTGTACAGGAACATGCTGTTGGTCAGTGTTCTTTCAGTACTGACAGTATCCACGATATACTAAGAAAGGTCATTTATTATAATACTGATAAATGACACCATTTTGCCCCCCCGCTACTACAAAGTTAGTCTTCATAATTAGGGTAAATTTCAAAACCATTTTTTTCAAAAGAAGGGAAAAAAAAAATTGTGACTCACTCAACAGTTCTAACCCTATGTGCTGTTACACTAAATCTAACCAACAGAGAAGAGATGCCCATATCTACATTGAACTAAAATACCTTAGCAAGCTTGAGAGCTTTATCAGTGGATCATAGGAGGGTTCAGAAGAAGACCTGCAGATAGGAAGAACACGAAAGAAACCAGAGGCAACCTTGCCAGAGTTGGCAGAATACAACTCAAAATACCAGCACTGAAAAAGCCAGTGGGGTTCTGCAATGACTGGCCCTTCAGACTAGCCTACCGGCCTCAAGGCTTTAATTTAGAGTGCAATATTAAGCTAGACTATGTCATGAGTAGTACAAGGGTAAAATGAAATATAGAAAATGAGAAAGAAGAAGCAAGAGTAGGAGTCATAGACAGTTACACCCACCTCAAGGGCAGCCTTCTGGACGGTGACCTGGCTGTAGACCCTGGCTCCATCATCTGGACACACAGTCTTCAGCTCGTCCTTGTTGAGGGAGAAGAGCTGAGCTCCGGTCAGCACCCCCAGACTGTTCACAGTTCTGAACACAGAAAACAGGGAGGGAACTCAAACCAGTAACTCTGTCTATAATGGAATTTTGCTTTAGGAAAAGCCTAAAGTACAATTTTTTCATTTTATTTATTTTTTTTATTTTATTTTATTTTTGTTATGCACCAACCAGTCAAATTAGGCTGTTTTCTATTTCTAAACTTTAATATGTTGTGAAGCCATATGTTTCCTTTTCCCTTTGCATGAAAGTCCCCTTTTTACACCAGAAACTGTCATTAATGGGATGCAAATCACAAAAATGGCATCCATGTGACAAATACAGCACTAAAACAACATATTTTTAGTCTTACACTGGCCGGCCTAGCCTCCTCTGGCACACTTACACAGCGCTGAAGCCCTTGGCCTGCAGCCAGGCTTTGACCTCCTCGGGGCTGGAGTCGTAGGTGATGTTGACGGCGGGGAGGCTGGTGCTGCGTGGCGGAGCCTGGAACTTCTTCTGAGCGCTGCGACCCAGAGTCAGCCTGTGCATCAGCTCATCCTGAACCTCCTCCATGTTCGACTTGCGCCCTTTACAGGATACCAGGAAAAACAAACAAAACTTTTATTTACTGTTTCAACTGTATGAAACATGTCTTCCTATGATGTGCGTCTACAGCAGTGGTCATCAGCCCTTCTCCTGGAGATCTACTTTCCTGCAGAGTTTAATTCCAACCTGCATCTGCCCGTTCACTGTACCTACACTGATGCATCTGATCCACCCAATCAAGGACTTCTAGAGAAGTAAATGAGCTCAAGCAGGTGTGGCAGATTATGGTTGGAGCTACAGTCCACAGGAAGGCAGATCTCCAGGACCAGAGTTGGTATCCACTGGTCTACAGTATATACATGTCACCATCTAACAAGATGTGCTTCAGTATTAATTCCTCAGACAAGAATCTGCTCATCATATCCTTATTAGAAATCATACACAACACTGACCATAATCAATACTTAATGCTAATATTAACAAAAACAAAGGCTAATTTTTTGTTTAGATTCAACCTTGTCTTGACAGTTAACATTCATGAGCCATGACCCATATCTGTCATTAGGATGATCACACCTCTGCCCTGAAAAGACCCACATGCCACACTGGAGTGACGCATACTCAGTGAAGTGTGATTGTATACAATGAGTGTAAAAGTATTCTCATTACGGTCACAGTGGCCACAGATAACCTGATCTATGACCACATATGAAAGTTTTTCAAGTCTTATTTAAAAAGGTGAGATTACAAGATCTGTGTCAAATTTAGGCAAAAAATTTGATTTTTGAAATTTGATTTGATTTGGGCTACGTTAACTCTAACGTGAAGGTAACCAAAGCCATGTTAGCAGTCTTGTATATGTATGTTCGTACGGTTAGTGGGAGCAGCGCGTTCTTTCTGGTGCTCCCTCATGGTGACGCTGCCATTGTCACTGGAGTTACTGCTGTTCTGGCGGCTGACGTTAGAGGGCGAGTTCCTCTGAGGCTCGGCGGCTAGAGGGACAGCCGCAGGGGGCAGTGGGGGAGTGGGCAGCTGCACCAGTGCAGGAGCTGGAGGAGGTGGCGTTGGGGCTGGAGGGATGGCTGTCGTTACAGGTTTCGGGACGTAGTCTGTTCTCTGCTTCTGTTAAAGGATTGAAATGTGTCAAACACAAGGCAGGCTGCTTTGCTCATTTCATTTTGACTGTCAATAAAAGATAAACATCAATTAAGGCTGAATGATTTGGAGAAATATCTAATTGCAATTTTTCTAATCAATATTGTGACTGCAATTTAAATTGCAATTTTCAGTTCTGATTGATCTAACTCATCTACAGGCGATTCACAAGCTAAAAGCTAAATATCCTGACATTAAACTTGCTAAAGGGACATTGTTAATGTAGGCTATAGCCAAAATTGCACTCTTTCATATTACAATTTCAATATAAAACCAATTATTCTTTCTGAAATAAGATAACACAGACAGTATCTAGGGTTGTGACTGAAATGGATCCCCTTCATTAGCACTGTGAGATACAGGGGAAAACTATTTAGTTTACTAAATAGTGGGTAAGAATGACAAGTAAATAAACATTATTTTTATAAGAAGCGAGAATTTCTACTACCAAGAAGCAGCATGGCTGATTTTGTAAAAGATTTTGTGTGGGTTTGACTTTGTTACCCATAATCATGTGTTTTGTTTATAATTTGAAAAACAGGCCCAAAAATCCTATTTAATATGTCATTGTCAGCCACCAGGTGGCAGCGATGTCCAACTGTTTCTTGCCACAGAAAAGTCTCTGAAATCACTCTTAAATGGAGATGTTTCTCTCTCAAAGCTCAACAGTCAAATCAGATCAATCAAACCCAAAAAGTAATACATTAACCATTAAGAGAGACTCACTGCTAAAAGATACTTGACATTTTGAAAAAAAGAGTCCTTGCCCATGAAGAACCCATTTATTCTAACAGACTGCAAATCAATGCACTCTCACTGAGCAGAGCTGCACACTGATCAGTGTTACAATAAGTTGTTTTTGGTGCATATACCCTTAGTTCTGAATGACCTACAACATACAAACTATGGTATTATACACTCAAGCTATTCAGATTCAAGTGCATCAGCATATCTACAAAATAAGAAGCACTGCAAATGACATTACCTCGTTTAATTCACCCAGCAATTGCTTGTAGAAAGGAGGGAAAAAGCAAAAATAAATGTGGAAATGGCTTCTTAAAAGACAGAAACTCACTGCAACTCAAGTCAAACAAAATAAAGAAAGATCAAAGTCCTAGTGCTCAGGAAAGACAGCATTCTAAAGTACACAGCACTCACAGCATAACAGAAATTTTGTAAAACATTTTTCTTCTGTTCATACATTTCCTTACAAACTGATTCTTTACAAGACAGTTTACTGTGCAAATTGCAAAAGGAACATAATAGTTTTTCTCTGCTAGCTGCCTGTTAAACTTCTCTATACACGCAGCATCAACTTTATTAGGTACATATACCTTGTACTTTCACACACCACCCACTTCATGAGCTAAACTTACCATACTGTCTACTATACAGGTGTGTATTAACACACTGTAGACCAGCCGCCCTCTACCCAATTCATCAATGGACAGTTTCTGACCACAGGATCAGTGTTTATTAGAGTCTGATATCAGTTGGTATATTATATTGGCTGATATTGCCAATTCACAGTTTTATTAGTATTGCCCACATTGCTGATAACTAGGCTGAACAATTTGTGATTTTTCTGACTAAAATTGTGATTGTGATTTTAATGTGATTATATTCTATAAATTAAGCTCCAAGCTTTTTCACCAAGAGGACTAGCGCATCCATTTTTGTTGTGCCAGACTGCCAGCTCATGAATTCTGTGTTATGAGGTTATATTTACTTAAAACTTGTTAAGACTATGTTGAATAATGATATAATTAAAATTCAACACAGCAGTGACACATTTTGAGCAGTGTGGGTGGCGCTGGTATCAGGCACAGCAGTGTTTCTGCAATTTTAACACAGTGCTGGGTTGAGGGCCAGTGTCCAAAAACATTCAGCCTCTGTGGTCAGAAACTAACCACTGATGAAAGGCTAAAGGATGGCTAACACAAACTACACGACAACAGGTGGAGACATCAAGGTAAGGGTTTGTGGTGAGTGAATAAAACTGCTCCAAAAGGTTGTATATTAAGCAGCCTAAGACAGATAAGATAGAAATTTCCCAGGCTTTTTACACACACATAAATATATGTGTGTGTGTGTATAAAGCCTAGTAAATTTCATTAGGCTCTTTAACTCCAAGCCAAGGAACTCGTACTACAGCAAGCAGTACTCTAAAACAATCTACTGAAAACAGATTTAGCTAACCCGAATAGACTAAATCTGTTAAATAACTGGGAAGGCAAGAACAATTGAGAACAGCAGCAAACTAGAGCCAGTCTGAGCACACGGCCATCCAGCCCTACCTTAAACAGCTCAAACTCCTTCTTTGGCATCATTAGCTTTTAGATAAATAAATATTGGACAAACAGTAAAAACAAAAGTGAAGGTGGAAGCAAACACAGAACAATGATAAAAATCATACAATCAGTGCTGACAGCAGTATCAGTTAGTGCCCAAAAATTCCAATGACTGGATATTCAGAAATGCCCACATATTAATGTGAGGGACACTTGTGGGCATAATCATCAATGTATGTGTGCTTTTCAACAGGAAATCATAAAATGTATTATAAATTGAAATCCCTATAGGGATGGAAAAAAATAAACACAAACAGATGACATGGAAGCATTAAACTGCAAGTTAAACCATGTAAAAAATGTTCTAGGAAGTGATGCACTACACTGCTCTTCACGATACTCAACTCATCATCGGCCTCATACTCACCTGAATTGTGTGGCTGTAAATTGGCTCCCCGCGTCCAGTCACGTCAACTGCCCTGCTGATCTCAAGGATGTTGTTTGGCACATATCCTGTAGCCCCAACTCCATTTTGAACCTTCCACCACTGTTTCCTGTCATCCAGAACCTATCAAGAAGATAAGCAGCTGATAGCGTTCCACTGAGCATGCTGCTACGCTATGGTGACTATAATAACAGCTCCAAACAAGACACATCACATTTATGAATATATATATGACATAACAACATATGACTTTACCTCCACCACTTCGTCCTTAACCACAGAGAGTTCTGTGTTATTCCTTGCCACAAAGTCATATTTAGATTTGGCAAAATTTCTTGGCTGGCCTCTAGCATGGGCATCAAAGTTTCTAGATTGAGATAATCAAAAATAGAGCAGAATGAACGATACTGCACATACAGAGCTGCAGAATTAAGTGTATATTCAGAATATTTGGATAGTACGCTGAAAATTTGAGGATTAGATATCTAAAATGATTCAAAAGACAGAAATCCAAAAGATATATTGGTTTGCTGTTTTAAGCCTTCATGCATTTCATTCTGAAGGGGCACTATGGCCAAAATAAAAAAAGTAACCATCAGAACACCTGCTGTAAACATTCCTAATCGTCTCCTATAAAAGGTGCCACAGCATTTTCTAGAATGAGATTCTCGGATTTAAGAACTAGGAAAACCTGTTCTGATGACATATCTCGAAGGCAGGAGGAACTTTTGAAAAAAGTGCTTTTGGGTGGATTCTTAAGGGCGTTTTTTTTTTGCAGGATGTAGCCATATACTTAACGGGACTTCTTGGAGGCTGTTTATCGGGTCTGTATTTATTAGCCTCTGCATCAGTGGCAACAAACAACTTAAAGGCCAGAATGCCCCTTTAACAGAAAAAAGGACTAGCTAACATGAACTTGATATTTTATATTAAATTTATATTATGACTACTATTATAAATAGTATATTTAGTAAATTTTAGAAATAACATCAGATGAAAATAAATCACATTTTAAACTAATCCATGAACATCTACATTATTGACTGCTACAACCATGGAGAAGTGTCCAAAAGCAGAGAGTGAAAAGTGAATGAAAGAGAAAGAGTTTCTGATTTCTCAGTGAACCATTCAGACAGAAAGATGTGATCAAGACCAAATAACAAAAACAAGTGTCAGGGCTTAATTTGTGCCAGAAAAATAACCAACAGCAGCTGAATCACGCTCTTTCAGAGAATGCGAGAAGGGCTTTTCATTCATATAATAAATACGTTCAGACGACAATCTGCAGTGATAAATCAAGAAAAATATATTTTCTGCAAATAACTTGATATATATGTAACATAAAATGTAGAGAAGTTACCCAAAAAGTAGCATGCTGTGTCACACTGTGCCATAGCATCACATAATTTAAACTCCAGTTTGGGTGCACGGTGACAGAAACAATATTAAAAACAATAACATTACATTCATTCACAAATGTGCCACTACTGCTGAGATTCATCCCTCAAAAGAGTTTAGTACCACTGGCTTGATTTTTAACTACTCATGCAAGTTAGAGGCAGTGGAACTCAAAGAAAATAATCTAGGAAACAACCTCAATTGATGAAACAGAGAACAGAAAGTTCTCTTATTGTTACACATAAGCCATAGTAAAATATGAAAAAGAAATTGAAGAGTTGAACTGAACTTTTTACTTGAGAAAGCAGAAAGAATAAAAAGATTACAAGTCAGAAGTTAAGAGTTTTTACACCAGTTGAACATTACGCCCCAGTCAGCAATCTGAACCAATAGTAATTTGAGCCCAAAGAGGAAGTGAACAGGAGGACAGTTCTCCAGGGCCTGTCAGCAGTCAAGTGACCCCTAGGGGGGTGTTACCTATCTAAGTGGCGGCTGACCGCCTGTTTAAAAGCTGCCACTGCCATGTCTGTGTCCAGCAGGTGCATGCGCTGGTAGGCAGTGTTACTGAAGGCATACCCGTCTGCTGAGGGGAAATCCTGCACGCTGGCCTGCTGCCGGAAGCAAGAAAAAACACAGAAATATCATAAACCAGGTAAGCATCATGAACTAAGAATAACACTCATACACCAACAAGCACACTTTAACCTTTTCATATTTTATCACCTGCAATAACAAGTCTGATACACTGTATGTCTAAAAGTATCCAGACACCTCCTCTAAATACTGAATGATGAGCAAATGTCTGTAAACCTTTGAACATATTTTATGCATTTTAATGATTTTGTTTTGATGGAAAGGTTTTTGTGTGTAGGATTGCTTTGAGGAAAGAAGGTCTAAGGTTTAACAGTGTAAATGAGTGCTTCTTCTAGTGTCACTATATTTGTAGGGAAAAATCTCTTACCTCATGGTGGAGTCTGCGGCTCACCTCCTCCTGCCTGTGGATCTCTGCCTGAGCCAGCGTTTCGGCCAGCTGCGTCAGGTCCTGCTCCCGAGATACCAACACAGGCGGCTCCCAACCATCCCGGAAACGTAGTGTGTGAGGAGGGAAGTAATGGTCCTTAGGCCACTCCAGCCTAGAAAGAGGTGAAACAGTCACATTAAAATATTAAAACACATCAGTGAAAACACAAAAATAATACACAAAGCAGAAGAACTGAAATATAAATTCAATAAAAGACACAGTTGGACAGATTTAAAGACAAATATAACACAGCAGAGCCTCACCAGCAAAACCTTAAAACTAGCAGCGTAAAGAATAGCATCACGGTATTCAAATGTTCAGTATAGGTACTAATACAGCTGATTTTGCTCTGTAAATGCTCTGCAGGTGTAAACAGTTCACCGGCAATACCTGCATTTGGTCCATCCATCTCCCAGAGTGACCCAAAGGTGGCGCTCTTCAGGAGTGCCTGCAGAGTGCAGAAAGTCTATGGCCTCTCTGGTAAGGAGTGGAACCAGTACACTCTTTGCCAGGTCTACCCCTCCTGATGTGTGAATCACCTATCACAACCAACACAGCACACTGTCTCAGACTGCCAGAACATTCTCATTATCAGGTACTGGTGGAATGTTTTCAAAAAAAGGAAGGATCTGACACACTGCACTACAAAATGCCAATATAAACATTTCTATCTAACGACTGATCATATTGGTGCATGTAAGTCTCATGTACTCTACGTCCTTACACTTCTCAGTAGACGGTGATGCTTATCAAGATGTGTCATTAGTTTACTGAAGTACACTGTAAAAAGTCCTTCTACTTTAAGCAAAAGCTTTATATCATCACCCTCTGACTGTGTTCACAACAGCACATGTGGTGATTATTCAGGCTTAGCTCTGCGTGTTCCGAAGTGAGTCACGTCATGGTGAACAACCCACGTACCATTCTGAGTGGTGTAAAGAGGAAGTGAACCAGATCCACAGCACTCGGGTTCTGAATGTGGTTCTTCAACTTTCCCTGGGATTAAAACACAATGACAATCATATCACAATCACATATGCTACAATTTCCAATGGCACAAAGCAATGAACAGAGAAACGCTGCCCACATTCAACAAACAGATGAAAAAGAATCACTGCAGAACTCAGGGCCAAAAAGACAGTATATCCTGGATAAAGACACCTGATCTGTGTGAGGCTCCTTTGACTCCTTTGCTTCTCTCTCTTTTTTGAAATATCCTTAAACAAATTTTGAATAGCTGTTAGTTTACCTTCTCGTGTTAGAATGCCTGTTTATTGTTTACACCACCAGTGTTTGTCTCCTCTCTCAGCCTCCAAAACAAAAAGTGTGAGGTGTAGCCACAGTAACAGGTGTTTTGATGATGGTGCAGTGTGGTGTCCGTTCAAACACAAGAAATTATTGTGAAGATTAAGTTGGACTGACGTAAAAGTCATATCAACTGCAATCCATTATGTATTGGTTTTCAGTACCAGACATGAAAGAGGCCCCAATCAGAATTTAAACTGTTAGAATCAGTGTGTTTTTACTGTTCACACTGTCACACAAAAACAACCTGTCATATCGGAAAAAAGATTTCAGCCACTTTGACCTGTAGCGTGAACATAGTCTAAAAGTAGGTTATCATGCTTATACTACTTAGACACTCTACTACCCTACATGAAAACAAAGCTAACATCACATTATACAATGTCAGTGGGTGCAGTTTCAGGACAGATCCGTTACAGAATTCAGTACAAATCTTCTTCTTTCCTATATCTGATCCAGCATTGTCTGATGATATCATCCCAAGACTGACACCTAGATCGATGCAATCTCTATTTATAACACCAGTTTAGAAGTGCATTAAAAAAAGGTATATGAGACAGGGAAGAAAGAAAAAAGGTAAAGAAGCAGACAAGGCATCAGCAAAATATCCACCACTGTTTGTTGGATGTACAAATCCTCACCAGCAAGTTGAAGGCATGTTTAAATTTCTGAAAGCAGTCAACAAACTCCTCCTGTCCTGGTGGCTTGGCCCGTAGTGTTAACATTCCCTCTGGAGAACACAGAAAGGGCTTTGGGTAAACATGCTAAACAACAGCCAACAATCACCATGAAAATGTCTACCATACGATGAACCCATGCTGGCCGAGTGTTAAAACCAAAATCAAATCAAATCCAATATCCAGTGACCTAATCTCCACATAGTAGAACACAAACTTTAATACTTTTCTTAGTATAAAATAACGGGTTAACCCAAGGTAAAAGCAGGCGTTACAGCAGGCAGGGCGAGTTCAGACCTAATTTGCATCAGTACTGTACTGCCCGTGGTTTGATCGTGAACAGATTGCATAGCAGGTGGTTGGCAGGTTTGATTTAAATGTCACTTGCACAGTGGAATAAAACAGAACAAATCAATGCCCACCTCCTGGCCCCTTCTTTTTGCTCTTTTTCGATTTCTTCCTCTTGGAGAGTTCATTAAATGCCTCTGCAGCTTTTTGAAGTTTGGTCACAAAGTACTCGATGTCATCCAGAATGTGGTTCAGGATTTGCTGCAGAAAAAGAGTGTTTTAATGTATATGTTGTTTTTGTTGGCAATTAAACTATTACATTTCTTCAGAATACTAAAATTAGTATTCAGATAATGCATCTTGTCTTAATACTCATAAGTCTATATGCATGATCTATATATAGAGCAGAATTAAGACACAGCAGAGTATATTTACGGTAAAGAAAATAAATAGATTCGGCGATGCACCTCAAAGCTAAATACAGCTATGAGATGCCTCGACACAAGATTAAATTATCTTTCTGAAGATGGGAATGCTGTGGCAACCAATTATGAGAATAAATGGATGGTCAGTGCTTACAAATCCAGCACAGTAGAGCTCTGTTCCTAATCCATGTGCATATACCACTTTAGAGCACCTTCTTGAAAACTACATGACAGCAGGACACATTAGGACTTTAGGTCTAACACAATGTACAAAAGGACTGAAAAGCAAGCAGAAAATCTTACTGAAAGGAAATCAAAAGGCTTATCACTGAATCTGTAGTACATCACCGGTATTCACTTTAATAACGGTATACCGCTCACCCTTAGTGATTAAGACTAACCTATTTTGTAATTAGTGTTTACTATTATATAATTAGTAAGGAAAACCATATTTAACAAATGCATTATGTTAAAAAAAATTATTGTGCAAGAAAAAAGAATTGTGTTAAAAAAGAACAGAGCAATATATAGATAAACTTGTGATCTGTACATGTAAGTACACTGTAGAACAACAGGCCTGGCTAGTAGGCTGCTATGCCAAAGGCTAAACTGAGACTAAGGGCCAGCAGTTCCTTCCATATGTCTCTCTAACATTCGCTTCCTCAGTAGCAATCTGGACTAACATTAACTCGGCAGATGAGGGATTACTGAAAGAAGCTGAACTCAGCCTTTGAGGTAAGTGACTCCCGTTAGCATGTTTAACACTGTTTGTGATGTGTTTGAGAGATAACAGTAAAATCAATATCTTAGAAACTGGTGTATCAACCATTACAACTGCCTTTCCACAAAATATTGGCTGCCTGTCTCACACCACTGAGTTCCATCTACTAGCACATATGCACCCATCAGCACGTGCCAGACATTTGTGGTATCCATTACAGGTATTGGTATCACCACTGCCAATACTGATACTGTGTTTAAGTGTATTGGCGTAGATACCGATACAGTATTTGTATCAGTTCAACTCTACTTAAAAGAATTATAAAATCTAGAACACTGGACTATCCACTCATGTTTTAGGCAGAATTCAGCGCAGATGTCCATGAGGCCCATGCTTGTGAGAAAAGATATGAACAGGAAATAAAACATTGATTCAAACCCAAGAAAAGACAGATTAATGCAGCCAAACGGTACTTTATGTTTGATTTGTTTGGCCACATTTTTCTGTATGTTCAATATGTTGTGTAACATGTTCTATTTAAAGAAAGTTTTAGGATTAAACAGGGGAAGGTTTATATGATGTTATATCAGTACCACACAGCAAGCAGCACATCTGTCCAGACTGCCTGATTAAAGCTCGATTTTTTATTTTACACAGCATGAAATACTAGTGGAGATTCTAGCTACAATATACTGTAGCTTATGCAGGATTTAAGCAATGATTATTTAGGCTTATTATGACTCGATAACGCCACAGCTTTCCTCTGTGGGGTGGAGAGCACCAGCGAGAGTCTGCATAAAAGGATGTGTGGTATTGATATCGCAGCCAGCTCACAGACTAACCATGTGCTATTGCTGTTGTTTTGACTTGATAATGGTAACATGTGGAGCTGGGAGCTCTATCTGTAGAGGGGCAGTTTGATGATACTCACCACATCTCTGTCTATTCGCGCTGCTGTCATCTCCGGAGATTCATCCTGTTCACCGTATGGCCTTTGTTTATCATCTGTGCAAACAAGCAAACGCACAAAGCCCGTTCTATCTTATAGGATGTCTGAACAGAGTGGATGCTGATAGCATGAGTGAGGACAGTAAGCAGATGTGTGTGGAATGGGGAAGAGAACATGGACCATTGGAAGAGAAATATTATTAAATGGTAAGTTTAGTGATATGGAAGGACGTCAAGCGTGAGAACTTGACAAAAATGAGAGGGACAAGCAACAAATATTCTCCATAGTATAGGAAGACACTGTGATCAATACTGTAATTACAGCACAAGGAAGAAGAACCAGATGAATTTTACAAGATTTTTAGGCTAATATGTATTGAACTCACAGTCTTGCTGCTCATTTGCCCAAGCTGACCAAGCAGCCACTCTGCTCTTTACATCCACTTGATTGATAGTGGCTGGGGGCTCAGGGGCGGGGCCGCCAGGGGGAGGTGGAATGGCCCCATCGCTTTTCAGAATCATTCTAAGACAGATACAGAAAGAGAGCTAGTAGCCACGGTAACTGTGAAAGTGGAAATGATCACAATAACACTTTGAATATCATGACTTCGATCAAATCCATGCAGGGTGTTTGCTGCTTTCTTCCAAAAGAAAAAAACAAAACAAAACCTTGAACACGTGTATACACAGCTTACTGTTTAACTGATACTCTGTCTACTTTCACATACCACATATGCTCTAAATTGAAAGGACGTTAAAGTCATTAAAATAATTTGTCATATCAAGAACAAAATTTGTGCCTTACTTCAGGGTCTCTGGCCTCTTTTTGACCTTTCCTCCCTTGTGGTCACTGATAGCACTGTCAATGTCTGCATGTATCAAATTTGCCTGAGGAGAGATGGCAAACAGCAATGAGTAGTAGCCTAAAACAAGCTACATGATGCTAATTATTAACAGACAAACTTTACCAAACACAGGACCATGACCAACAGACTGAAGCTTTGGACATTTTATACAAATCATTAAAACTACTGCTATTTGCCTGCTCACCTTAATGTCATCACATTGGAAGAGGTGCAGGTCTGGTTTGCCCTGTCCAGACTCTTTACACACCAGTGCCAAGATGGAGTCATAATTGCAGGAGTTCACGATGGCCTGGCAGTGCTGCACTGTAGCCAGCGGGAAATTCTCCAGCTCATTCTGAGAGAAAGAAAAACAAACAAGATTTATCTCAAATGCTCTGAAAGTCATGCACTACTAGTACAGCAAGGTTTAGTGGTATTTTCTGGAGAATTTTGCTTTCATCATCTCAAGGAGGCTAAAATCTGGCTCTACATCTAAAAGTCATAAAATATTCAAAACCTATTATGAGGAGTTCACTGGAAGGGGAGAACTCATCTGTAAAATGAATCTTATTTGAGATGTGCATGCAATTTTAACTTTTTATCAAACCTCTCGGTGACAGTGTACTGGAATCTATTGATTGCCTTTCATTTCCTATATTATGATCATGCTTCTGGTCAGTGCCGCCAGTCTCTAGTGACTGGGCTTTTCCATGGAAAGGATCTTTACCCCAGATTTGATACAGAGCCACTGTTCCTCACCTTGGTATCAGGATCAATGAGGCTGACTGCTTTTTCATCCACCTGCAGCAGCATGTCCTGTGTCCACACCTTCCCTTTTGCATCAAGCAAACGCAGTTTACGGATACCGTCTTCTATGGTGATCATGGCATCCTTGCGATCCATGACAAACGTTGTTAGATGCTGCAAGAAGACAGAAAGGGATGAGCATATTTACTGGGAAATATGATGTGTAAAATTGTGAAATCATTTCTAAACAACAGCATATATTTGGGCATGAGCATCTATGCATGACATTTCAATACAGTGTATAAAAAAAAAGAAAGAAAAAAAAGACATTGTTTCAACTTTAAGTGACCTGGCTACCCTAAGTAAACTGAACCTTTAAATTGTTAGCAGAACAATAATTTAAATGTTACATTCTTTTACCTTATTAATTAAAAATGTAATAAAATCTGAATTTGAAGGCAGCCTGGTTAAATTCAAGATAAAAAAGTAGTGTTTTTACACTGCAAACTGTACACGTAATAAAAGATTCTTACTTCAACATGGTACTGTGATGTGTCCGTCATGCTGTTAATGCTGTTTTTAGTGTAGCTCTTTCGTTGCTCTAGGGAAACAAGAAAACACTGTGAGAAAGTATATATTAGACATTACACATTTATGACAAAGCTTCTTGTGAAACATTCTAGTAGTCAATAAGATTAAAACACTAACAGCCAGTTTATCAGTCCAAGATTAGACCTATGACTGGAATAAAACGGATCTTCAATGACGGTCTCACCACTGGTATTCAGTTTAAGACTAGACTCATTCTATAGGAGACCTGCTGCAAGGGTTCTGAGTATCAGATGGGAGTCAAACTGATGATGCTCATTTCTCTATAATTTCTGTCCATCTCTCTATAATTTAATTACCCAGGTTCCTGAAAAACCCTGAAATTAACCATTGGTGGAAGAAATTAACTACATATAAGAGTGGGGATGTGGCAGAGAATTTTAAGAGTGCGGTAGTACAGTAACAAGAGTGTTAAAAGGAATGCAGGAAAAGCAAACACTCATATCAAAGGGCAATTATGTGATTTTCTTGTCCTGCAATCATACCTTGCATCAGCCAATGTGAGATAACATTAAATAACATTGAAACTGTTTGAGTGTGAGTGAGTGAGTTCTGAGTGAGGAATGGAATAAATGAAAGTAGCTTTAAAAAAAATAGAACAGGAATGATCACTGTAAGAGTACCAATCACTCATAGAAGAGAGATCACTCAAAAGGAAGAAATCACTAATGGAAAGAAGGTCACTAAGCGAAGGAACCACCGGTAGAAAAGAGATCATTCTAAGGCTCACCACTGCTTTGATCCAACTGAATTAACAAGCTCTTCCTGATTTGACGTGGGTGTGTTAGATCAGAGGAAACCCAAAACTGTGCAGGACAGGGGGCACTTCGGCACTAGGGTTGAGAATGTGCGCTCTTAAGGAAGAAATCACTGGTAGAAGGAGGATAACTTTAACAGAAGGAATTACTAGTTGAAGAGGAATCACTTCAAGAGGAGGGAAGGAAAGGGATCACCGGTAGAAGAGAAATCACTGTGAGGGAAGGGATCACTGGTAGAAGAGAAAACACTCTAAGGAAAGGGATCACTGGTAGAAGAGAGACCACTCTAAAGGGAAGGGATCAATGGTAGAAGAGAGACCACTCTAAGGGAAGGGATCACCGGTAGAGGAGAGACCACTTTAAAGGAAGGGATCAATGGTAGAAGAGAGACCACTTTAAAGGAAGGGATCACTGGTAGAAAAGAGATCACTCTAAAGGAAGGCATCACTGGTAGAAGAGAGACCACTCTAAAGGAAGGGATCACTGGTAGAATAGAGATCACTCTAAGGGAAGGGATCACTGGTAGAAGAGAGATCACTCTAAGGGAAGGGATCACTGGTAGAAGAGAGACCACTCTAAGGGAAGGGATCACTGGTAGAAGAGAGACCACTCTAAAGGAAGGCATCACTGGTAGAAGAGAGACCACTCTAAAGGAAGGGATCACTGGTAGAATAGAGATCACTCTAAGGGAAGGGATCACTGGTAGAAGAGAGATCACTCTAAGGGAAGGGATCACTGGTAGAAGAGAGATCACTCTAAGGGAAGGGATCACTGGTAGAAGAGAGACCACTCTAAGGGAAGGGATCACTGGTAGAAGAGAGACCACTCTAAGGGAAGGGATCACTTAATCCCTATACAGGAAGGAATCATTCACAGAAGAGGGATCACTAAGGGCCTACTGGCAGAACGCTGTAAACTGAAGCAGCAGTTTACACACACTCACATTCTTCACACCATGCTCCACTGTGCTCTACCTTTCTTTTTGTGTTTGGCAGAAGATCGTAGGAAGTAAAGTCCATCTGTCCCTGAGGGCATGACCAGAGCGTGGGCAGTGTGGTGGACAAAAGATGTCAATGAAGGGGTGAGTAAATAAACAATAATACAAAGGAATGGGGGCTGTAAAATAAGGACAAAATCTGCTCCAGCAGATAACACACAGATTCTGAATAAAAGCTTCACTACCTTTTCTAATCTCAGACTCAAATTTCCCTTTGACAAGGGTCATCAATGTCGGCCCAGGAGGGCAGTTAGTTATCAGGTTTAGTGAGTGTGTTGGAGCAGGAAAATCACCATACTGTGGTGGAATAAGACCAGAATTGGACATCAGTGCACTACAGCAACCGTCTTTATGTTTCCTCATGGAGGGGACATGGATTACAGCACTGGAAGATCAGCTTCGCGGTTCACTCCTGTTGGAAAGACTTGCTATAATGTTTCCTATGCTGGCAGCATGCTCCAGGCCAGGAGTTGGCAACATTATTTCACATAAAGTCTGAGAAAAACATGAAAGACTAACAAAATTTGACTGAGTTTAAGTGTATGTATTGCTCTTTCCCAACTCATTCCAAATAGAGCATGATGTCTACTTTTTTGAATGCTTTGTAGTGTAGTTCGCTAACAATGATAACTCTGATATACATATATAAGGTAGCGTTGATATACATATAAGGCAGAGGCAGAAGCACTGGAAAGGGCTGCCCTCATGCACTTTCTGCTTCAGTGACTGCAACAATAACTAGTACGCAACTCTGTCTCGACCCACCCTGAGTGACAGCAACCTTTTCCATGTAATTTATCAGCACAGGGAACAGAGATTTACTAGAGCACTGAAAAACTGCATTTACAGTCTGCTTCTTCATAGCAGTCAATAAATGCGTATACTCTAAAGCTGCAGATCAAGGACGAGGCATACTGAAACATACCAACCACCATGCCTCCTTACACTTTCCATAAGCATTTTGCCGAACAAATTTTTAAATAGAAACTCAATTTATAAAGTTTTATGAAGCTTGCATGTGAATAGTGACCTAAAACTTTTAATCATATATTGATGATATTTAGGCTGCTAAGCTGAACAACGCTTGGGAGCGCCATGGGGGTGGATACGGGCACGGGGCACGGAAGTCATCCAGAGCAGGACCCCCTAATGCATCCCCATGGCGCTGGGGCTGATATAAGGTAATTTGCTGCTTGGATAAGGGCTGTTGACTGTGCCCTTTTTTTGGCCACAACTAACCCTTGCTGCAGTCTAGTTGTAGTTCTGTTATGCTGAGGCAGACCTCCATTTTTAGGGGCTAACAGCTCAATAAGGTTGAGAACTCTAGGGTTACAGCAGAGAAAGCACCAAACTGTGCTGGAAAGCAACCCTCCAGGACCAGAGCTGAACACTCCTGCTCTTTTAGATCTGTTGCATGTCTGTCTACATGAGGCATGGCCAGTTTTGTGTTTGATGTTTGTTGGCTTTTCAGCTTTGCACACTGCAGAGAGCCCATGCTGAGACAGACAGACTTTGGCTCTGCAGGAGCATGGCTGCCATGCCCCCCCCAAGCTTTGGCCACTACACTTCCACACAGGAACATTCAAGGCCCACTGCAGTGCAGCGAGAATGACATACAGCTGTGTCCCCATGATGGAAACAAACATTAATGTAATGCGTGATTCTGGTTATAAAGCGTTTAAAGGTTAGCCCACATTTACAGAGCCAGCCACTACAAGAATAGTATCTACAGGGGAGGGATGAAAATGGAATGAAAGCAGGGTGCGGGCAGATAAACATATGTCATGTCTGCAGCAGGGCGTAACGATGAAGAGCAAAGGCAGCAAGGGGACGGGAAGACAACAAAAGGACATGTTGCCATGGAGATAAAAGGACTCGTCCTTAATACAGGGAGCTAGAGCAATATACGAAAGACAACCAGCATCTCCATTCAACCTCTCAAAGTTTTGCTCATTTCTCTGACTCCTGCCTACAGTCATTTAAAGGGTGCAAAACGCATGGTGTTAGATAAGAAGGCAGCTGGCTGACGTAAATGATGATTATCGGATAGGTGTGATATGTGAAAGCCTGGAGCACAAAGATAAGAATTTTCACCTGGGAAAGAACAGTGCACTACACTTGAGCAGACAGCAGGTGGAGACAACACATGTACATCACATATGATACTCCTATTCATAATGCTGAGGCATCACTGCATAATATACAAATGCTGTACTACGGAAACAGAATGTCATTGGGAAAACGGCCACTGAAAAAGGAGCCATAGAAATGCTGTGTCAAAATAAAAATTTGAAAGCCATTTCTTTACCCAAGTAGGCGTCAATCTGTCATTTGTGCCATGTCTACCCTACCGTCCTCACAGTTACAGTTCAGGAGAACATACTGAAAAAAGGAAAAATAAGAAAGGACACGTACCATAGAGGGCCTTTGCGCTGGACTTGTTGGCACTGCATTCTGGGAGCTCTGGTGACGGGGAGCCGTGGCCACTGCAGAGCACAAAGAAACAAACAAACAAAGGTCAACATGGTGTCCATCAACCTGATCTCAGGTTTTTTTTTTTAAGACATTAGAATGATGTGACTGTGTAATATAATATTTTTCCTTAGATATTAAATGTAATGTATTTAAATGATGTATTATTGAGATCTTCAGAACTAGCTGTGTTTTGTATTATTTTTGTTGTGTTGTGCCAGTCATATAAAACAAAAGCACCGTACAATTGGTCTTTTAATGGAACATGATTTGTTCACAGTAAAATTAGTACATCCACTTTAGAATTGGATTGCTAAGCACACAAATTATTAGTACAATGACAGTAAGAGTTAAGATTTTTGGTTAGTTAACCGCAAATCCCTTTTTCAGGTTCTTAAACTATTGGGCTCAAATTTACACACACTCCTACCAGACGTGAGTTTGATCGCACAAATACGGCAAAGATGCAATGTATGAATGTCAAATCTGTCAGTAAAATTTGAGTGTGCGAATTTTATGATCCGATTTGACCGTATGCATCTTTGATGAGTAAGTGCCACTGTGTTTTGATGAAAGGAGGCTGGCTTGTATTTATTAAGATGGAACATCAGCGTGATGCAATGCTTCTTGTCAAATATTAGTAATGCCCAACGGAACAGTCACTCTCCCACTCACATCTGGTGTAGTCAAGTTTGTTGACTACAATGACTTGGCTACAGTGGGAACATTCTGGTTTTGTTGCTGTGGCTCAATTGCGTTGCTGTTACCAAGATTTTATTCATTACAGTTCTTTTTGGCAGGTTGTTACTTGTAATAAACATTCCTTTAATATGGCCGTTACTTTTTTTAAAGACTGGTTGTCATTGCTAGGTCACAGGCGAATAAAGCAGAGAAATTCTGTCGGAGAGCCATTATTTGAAGATACTGGCACTTGTAGAATCTTTTAGCCAGTCACAATGTGAGGTGGGAACTAACAGATCTGCTGTCTTACCTCTCAGCGGTTGATATTACATTAGTACCTCCCAACAGTCCTGACAGACTCAAATAAACAAATATTACTCACTGTTGTCCTCTAAACATGTTATCGCACTATTGAACTTTTGCTGTTTTCCTAGAGCCCATGATGTGTCTCAATAAATGCATCTTTTGTTTTCTTTTATTTACCTCAACCAAAGAGATGAGAACACAACCAAACATAACATGAACACATGACTGTGAAAGCTAGCAACTGTGGAAAATAATTGCAGTCAGCTTACATAATTGTGATCAAGTGACTGTGTAATAATTGTGACAGGCCTAATTACAGCACTAAAAAAAATACATGATTAAACAAGAAGAGTAGATTAAAAGTAGATTCAAGCATAAAAAACCTGGTAACCAAACATATTACAAAGGCCAGCCTGCTTATAAAGAAATGCTCCAGTGATTCAGTTAACTCTGTGCTGTTTACTCAAGAAGAAGAGTGTAAATATGAGAACAGGAGTGTGAGTGCTCTTTGGTGTTGAGGTGGACTCAAGTGTCACCCGTGCTAATGAGTAGACTGGACACTTGATATTGTTCGATTCTATGGCTCGCACTAATTGGAGGAGGAATTAATAATGTAGCGCTAGTGGAAGTATTCATCAGGAATGCTGATCTAGAACATGATCATCTTGGGAAATTATGACAGCAATGCCAGAAGGATTGACTAAATCAGGATGGACATAAGGGTGGACTTAAATAGTACATTAATTTATTTTCACCAAGTTCCACATTTTGGAATAATAATAAGACATCAATATATGTCATAAATATTGCCAGGCTTCTATGAAATGGGCCTTTTTAGATCCATTCTACTAAAACACAGCCACACTACAACAGTGGTTTAACATATTCCAGCTCTAAATTTCAGCTTTTATGTTCTAAATAAAAAATACTTGGTTTAACATAACAGTATGTTATACAGTGTCCATAACTACAAAAGCAAGTCTATTTGAGATTACTTACGTACTACACAGTCTGGTGCAAGTTTGTGATGATTCAGGCTTGCAGTTTCACAATGATAATTACTGAGCGTAAGCTTCTGTTAGTTACATTATCCTCACAGCTCTAAAACTGAAGAAGCAAACTTCAGACATCAAACATGTCTTAGCTGATCACTTACAATTAGGCTAAAGAGAAAAAGTGTGTACATTTGATTTTTCACTGAACTATTCCCTCAAGCTTTTCCAAAATTACAAAGTCAGTTCTCTTTTAGAGATCACTTGAGAAGAAGACAGTAATGGGAAAATGGCATTGTTGCTCATAATTTGGCTCCAAGCCTTTAGTAGATCTTGGCAGCAATACGTGAAGCACATCTAATGGGTGAGTCTGGCCAAGCACAATAAAGAGGCCTGCTTTATCGGTTGTGGGCGGTGATAATTATTTTTAGGTAACTCAAAGTGTGCGTAGGTCAGTGTGTATTCATGTATGAGGAAATGGTTTTGTGAAAAATCGGTAAGGGAGAGGGTGGGTTACTTACTTCAGCTGGGAGGAGTAGGAACTGAAGCCTCCGGAAGGGTAGTTGGGGGCAGCATAGCCATTCATTTTGGACTTCACAGAATGAGGTCACCAACTGCAATGAGGAACAGTAAGGCAATGTCAAAAAACTATAAAACAGGAGCTCTTAGAATTTTTCAGTGTGCCCCTTTTTAGTGGAAAAAAGTAATGGACGTTTCCACTGCATGCAAAATTCATCATTTGAAAATTCGCCCCCATTGATTTTTAACAGGGAGAAGTGAAAAGGTGCCTGAGGAAATGTGAGATAGCAAGCAGCGCAAACGCAAGCATAACAGTGCATCCTTGGCAACGCACCCACGTTAAGACATGGAGTAGCAAAGTATAACATAGGTTAACATGCTTATTCTGAAAATGTTTAAGATTCTGTTAAAACACTAAAAAACCGGTTTCACCGAATTGTTAATTTTTTCCATCTTCCTGTGATGAAACTCCACAAACACCTGAACAGAGATTTCAGTACTTGAATAATGATGACACTTTGAACAGTTAACCTAATACACAAGTACCCTTTACACAAAGTAAGACTGTATGCACAACAATAATAAAAAAAACTGTCAAATTCAAAACTGTTCAAGTGTATGGAATCAAAGTTAAGAATCTGTGCTTTAGTCAGAATTTCTGTCTGGAGAAAACCTGCCAAAAAAGCTGGGAAGATTTTTGTCTAAATCAAGCCATGAGAACATGGCATCTATGCAGACTAAAGCAACGAAACCCAGTAACAAGATTAAGGACTAAGCACTCTGTGCTTACTGTGTGTGGTCCACACTCACAGCAGATGACTCATGCTCTCAAAATAAGTAGTAAAGGAAAGAACATGACTAAACTACAGTTGGTAATGTAGCATATACATATCATACTGGAGAAATACTGGGATTCCGATACCTTTCCATACTTTACCTCTCTGATATAGTTTTATCTTTTCTAAGTCATTGACACAAAGTAGTTAGTCAGGTTGGAACACCCAGCTCTTCTGTGCTTCCTAACCTTGAATAATTCCACTTCAGAGGAACAGAGATAAGGTGTAATATATACTCCAATAATATATTAACTAAGTTTGCTTCCTTCTCTTTCACACACACACACACACACACACTTTCTCTCTCTCACACACACACTATTGTTTGCTGTAATTTTAATATGTGGGATTTTTCAGACAAGCCAACTTCCTCTTGACTAACACTTTAAGAAGCTTTCACCCAAACATATGAAGCCAAGTTGTCATAAGACAGGTCAAAGTTCACCAGCAATTCAAACAGAGTAAACAGAAATAAAACCAGTATTTTTAGGAACACGCCAGTTGCATACTGAGTCAATGTGCATCATATAATGGAAACCTGAGTTTAATTATAGTCTTGTCCCAGGCTGGAGAGATACTTTCCACCTTTTACACAGATTTTACACTTTACTCAATAAGGAGAGAGAAAAGTGTTTGACAATGCTAGTAATAGGGGTGGGGGAAAAAAAATCGATTCTTAGGTGCATCGCGATGCGGACGTGGATGATTCTGAATCGATTCATTCAATGTCAAAAATCGATTTTCTAAATATTTAATTTATAACGTAATGTTCACGGAACGCAAAGGGTGGAACTTGGAAGTGGGTAAGTGCAGCGCCCGGACAGTCTGTGGCGGCACATAACAAAAACACAACTGGATGAGTGAGAAATCCGACTGGCTCCCTCTGCGTTAAAGGTTAGATCAGGAGTCACAACACAAATGTTAACATTTTGTCCTTTCAACAAAAATCAAACCACCTTGGGAGCCCTATGATACATTTAATGTCCAGTATATCTCAGTGTGTGTTAATGTCCTAGTATAAACTAAACAATATAAACAAAATACGCGGACTTACTCTACTCTGCTTTAAGCTTTAGACGCTTTCCTCCCATCTCCGCCAGAAAACTTTTCCTCAAAAGTTGAATAGTTTCTTGTAAAATGTCTTTCAGCTTTCGGCTGTTTTACGAGGCTGAGGTCGCTTCTCACTCGCCAGCTTCTGGCTGAACTTTGCCGTTCCACCTTAAATTCTGACTGAGGCGCCGAAGGTAAATGCGGCACCATTTAAGGTGGAACGGGAAAATTAGAAAGAGAAGCGACTCCATCTTCGCAACTTTTTCGTTCGCTACTAGACAGGCGAAACCTCGTTGCTAGGTGACCTGCAGTCTGCACGGCAATTCTCAGTCGTTGAGAAACAGCCCCAACCCCCCCCCACTCCCCCACTTTCTACCACGAGACCAAAACCAAAGTTATAAAGTCACTGAATTAAACAGGTAGGACGGCTGTAATGTGCTGCATGGTCATCCATTACCACTGGATCTTATTTCACCGTAACTGCGCATTTTGTCACAGATGAGTGGCAGCAGTGTCTCCAAACAAGAGCAGTGAATGAGAGCCTTCCAGTTCACTTGCCACATCACTTCCATTTGATTTATTAATAAAAGATGTTGGACATAAATGCATTATGGATCATTACAAATACTTAGCTTTAAAAGTCCCAAGTCCTCAGACAGTAAGAAAACAGAAATCATGTATAGAAAAAAAAGATGCATCGAGATGCATCGATAATCGTTTTATAATCGCATCGCAGCCTCTGAATCGTAATCGAATCGAATCATGAGGTGCCTAGAGATTCCCACCCCTAGCTAGTAATAGGACTAATTAGTAGGAAACAATAAAAAATTAGAAACTGAGAAATGTTAGATGTGACCAGAATGATAAACCACTACAGATAATTCTAAAATAACTAAGAAAGCTGTGTAATACTGAGAATGATGTTATATCGAATGATCCACCCAAATAATACCTGCTCTATGGTGGTCCTGTGGGGGTCCTGACCATTGAAGAACAGAGTAAAAGCGGGCTAACAGGTCACCAGTAACTCTGGTTTCCTTGTGTGAAAATGATCACCTTTCAACGGTAATAACTTCACCCACCACAACTGCTCCTGGTCAAGTCCAAGCTAAAATAGGCAAAAGGAGGCTTAAACTACTTTCTGCTTTCCTGTGCACTGCAGGAGGTGAGAGCTCAAGCTAGGGGGTGCCTCATGCTGCTTGTATGTGGTTCAGGAGAAATCAAGCAATTGACTGGAGGGAAGAACAGCTTTAGAGAAGAGGCTTATAGCCAAAGCTAGAAACATGGTGAACTGAGACACAGGAAAGCAATGCTGGGGGAAAAGTGAGCTAATTATAATCTGAATCCAGACATCAAGTGCAGGTCCTGTCAATCAAACACGAGTAAATGTCTCTCCAGGAGCAAGGTCAGCACAAGTAACTGAAGGGATGCTATGACTGAACCACGTTCTGCCACAGCAGAAACCACAAGCATACTTACTAGAGATATTATATATAGCTGACGACTACACACATAGCAACATGAAGCTACTTGGCCACCATACTGACACTAACTCTCCTTGCTGTAAAATGAATGGATGTTTATGGATGTAAACATATTCCTAAAAATGCAGATGTGCCAGGTTTACCTGCAAGAATAGAAAAAAAAAAATCTGTGAAAAGGTTGTATTGCTTTAAAAGTTAGGAGAGCTACTGACTTGAGCTTGTACATGTATGGTCTTGTGTTACTCAGTTAAATATTAGCTAGCTTTCTTAGCATAATGCAGTATTTGATATTTGCAGTTTTGTTCCACTACACTGAATATTCCCATAAACACAAACAGTTTTATGTAGTTCAAAGAAATAGATATTTTCCTGACTTTTCCTTTTCTGTGACAAGCAGGTGTGATCACTTGTTGAAACTGCTGACTGGTGCACAGTATTATATGTAGTAAGTGTTTTTGATCCATGTGACTGTCCCTTTTCAAATTAGAAAATCAGATAGATTTATCTGCGATATCTTATGTGAAGATATTCTGCTTGGTTTACCTGTCCAAACACAGCCCTATAGTCATTAAGGCCCATTTTGGTAACAGCATGATGTTGACTTTAACTGAAGTGGCCATTAGGTCTAAGCCTGCTGCGAATGTTGATAAGATTAGAGTAGAAACGGTGAAAAACAGCATATGCCCAAATCTCCTTGACAAACACTTGTTTGATTCACACTGACAAGGGTGCACCAAAATGGAAACTGTTGGCCAATGCATTATCTGATATTTTTCATGTACATATCTACAAATTGTAGAAACTGGGACTAAATCTAATCTAAATTTTATCTAGCATTACACACCGCTGACCTCTAAAGATGATATAGCACCAAGTCAGAAGTTAAAACTGTAGTTTTCATAAGACCCAAGATGTGTCTCAATTAATGTGATTTTTGCCTTCTTTTATTTACATGTATTTGCCTCAAACCAACTGATAAAACACCTAATTAATTGCTATTTGTTGCGATGTAAACATATGATTGAAAAGTTATAACTGAGGAAAATAACTGTGGTCAGGCCATTATGTAATAATTGTGACAGGCCTAAGAGACACATTACATTTATTTCTGTAGGGTTACAAATGCAGCACTGTAACCCAGCATCACCTAAATATGTTCTGCTCTTTCACAGTATAATAAATTAGCAAACGAATATTGGCCTGAAATATTGGTTAATTCTAAACATTTTTCAGATGTTGATCATTTTTTCGAAGCAATTATCTGCCAATACTAATATGATTCCATTATAATACCATCCACAGCGCATGATTTAGTAGAACAGGTATTTCATGATTACATAGGCTAATAATACATAAACATAAAATGTTGTTAATAGTAAGTTTGGAAAACTTTAAGCACTAGTGAGAGAAACGTCTCCAATTAAAATGATATTATGGGTATATAATAAGAATAATAAGATGAATCTTTTTTTGATGAGACTTGCTCAGAATCTCCAGCAGGGCACATTAATCAGGACACAAGCCTCAGAGAGGAGGAAAAAAATGTATTAGTAAGTTGTGGGCGATCCTCTATGGGTTTAAATACTGGAGCCTCTTTAGCTCCGTACAGCAAATGTACAGTCTCTCCGCTCTGTGATTACTTTTCCCATGGCTATGCTTTTCTTCTCTCCTTTTTTCCCCTCCTTCTTTTCTTTCTGAAGCAGGAAATCTCACCCCCACATGAAC